GAAGCTGGGCTCAACATCTCAACATGCGTACTTGACCGTACTTGTGTTCTCCTGTGCCTGTTTTGTCATCTTCTGAAGACCAGTTCCAAGAATGCAAATAGAGGACATTCAAAATCCCTAGATGTTGCTCTTGCTCCGGCCCCGATATCAAGGATACATCGGTTGCACCCTCACCTAAGGAGACCAATCCCGTGATTCCCAAGTTCGTTCTTGGGAGGCCAGATGCCAAGACCGGTCTAGCCAAGACCAAGTTCGGTCTTTGCGTTCTTGGTATTGAGATTCACCCATGGATTGCTAAGGGCCCCTGTCATCAGATAGTCATAAATAATACTGTGTAGCTGAAAGTTCATGTAATTGGTATGTAGTTTGACCCCACTCCCTTTTTCCAATGTAGTCTAGCTATTAGTTAATGTGTCACTTGAGGGTGATTAATGGATAGCTGAGCTACGCCCCTTTTGTTAGATCTGTTCATTAGTTCAGACGATGGTTGAGGATGTCAGACTCTGCATCTCGATTAGCCTGTCTGCATGTTCTGCGTCACCATACTTGCTAATGTGTGTGTGGTGCTTGCTTTGCAGGTGCTGGGCCTGGCCAGCACGCAGGTGGGTGACAATGTGGTGCGACGGGGCCTTCTGCACTGCCCCCAGCTGGTCAAGCTCAATCTGAGTCGCACGCGCATCACCGATCATGGTCAGTATGTCGGCTGTCGGTGCTCTGCCTGAGCCCTGTCTCTCAGCATGGCTTTACCATTTTTATGTTTGTGGGCTAGTGTGTAGCACGGCAGGTTTGGGATCTGTGCCCATGTCTGGAAGGTTATTGGTTTGGATCCTGCAGCTGGTAGAATAATTGTATCGCTGTTGATGCCCTTCAGCAAGGCCCTCAACCCCAACTGCTTTAGGGGTGCTCTGGCTTGGCTAAACTGTGCTCTGACCCCAAAACCTCCCGTCATCTGTAATCAGGGCCTTGTGCTGGGTCCAGGTCCGAGCTTTGGGAATTTTGTGTCGCTTTGGTTAATAGTGTCTGCTAAATGGAAAAGATGCAATCAACAAACATAAATGTGTGCTGACCCCAGGAAAGCTTGTCGGAATGTGCTCTCATGGAGGGCAGGACGGGAAATGCCGGCCCACACAGGGCGTGTTGGAATATGCTTGTGGTTTTTCTTTCTCTTTGCTTAAGGCTTGAAGTTCCTGCGTCAGATGCACCTCAGCCAGGTGAACCTGGACGGGACGGGCGTGAGTCTGCAGGGCATCGCGAACTTCATCTCATCCTGTCCGCACGTAGCAAGCATCCGTGCCAGTCACACTCGAGCCATCGCGCCTGATCAGGTCTCTGACGATGAAGGTGACGCTGACATCGCGTCGTGAAGGGGGCGGGGGAGGGGGGGATTGCCTCTCCATTGCCCCCCAGTGGTGGTGAGCTGTGTGTGCAACATATTCACAGCTCTTGTCTGAGTCTCCTGACTGTGCACTCCTGCAAAAACAGCTCTGTTTATATACTCCTCTGCAATAAGCAGCTTCATACTAACGTCTGCTCTCTTCCCAGCCTAGAATAACAAAGTTTATATATCTTTTGCTGGTAACAAATGCTGTTCGCTGTTAGAAGTACTTCTGCAAACCAGTAAATGGCTTTAAAGTCTATGAGAAAAATCTGTTTGCTCAGTTTATATAAATTATATCAGAATAGTTATAGCAGCTATAATTCCAAGCTCTAACTTTTAAGATTCTCGAATTTAATTGATTTAATTTGGATTCTTTAGTTTCTTTTCTTTTTGAAGGATTTATTATATGATTTCAAAAAAACCATGGTGTGATCAGAAGGAGTAGGCGAAGTAGAAAGCAGACATCACAAAGGGTTATTTTATTTTTGTAAACTGCATAACTGCAAATAAAGTCAGACTAAAGCACAGCACTGGATAAGAAGCCAGTCCATCTCATAAACCACACTGTCTGGTGTTTGGCCCCAGTCTGCCCAGAGATGGTTGGATGGATAAAGCACAGCTGGTAAATGAAGCTTCCCTCGGGAAGTGGGCCCACACCTTATTTGTGCCCTTTCTGTCTCGGGGGGGTTAATCAGAGCTGCATGGGTGTTGGCAGTGGAGCGCTGAGAGGGTGGTGGCCATCAAAGCAGAGTATGAAGCTGCCTTCATGCAGTCAAAGGTGGTGAAGCCCACAGAAGAGCTGGGATTGACATGCATGTGCCGCTGCTCACACCAGTTACAGAACATCTTCCTGTAACTGCACAATGTTCCTGACTTCATGCTTATTTGGGTTCCAGCTTGTATTTTGAGGAGAGTAAAGAGACTTGCTCTTTAACTTAAATTTTTGTGTGGATTTATAATACTATCAGGAAAATCTCCCCTTCTCAATGTTTTCTCATTCATTAGGCAAAACCAGGTTAGAAAATCACTGTATGTTGATTTTTTGTTTTTGTCCTGCTGGCATGAAGTCCTGTGAAATATTGATCATCCGGGCACAGATAAACGTCATATGAAGCACATCATGTTGTCCAAGATTATAAGTTTTGACAGGAAGCACAAGATGCCAACAAGTTGTCATGTTTTTCTTTAATCATTTGGTGTCTTGTTAAGGAAGTGCTTCAGATTGTTCATCTTCAGATTGTTTGTTTTTTTTTTTTTTTTTGGTAAAACGCAGGAAAGCCATGGTGTGAGCTAACTCACCAATATGCTCACCAGATCTTTCTTCGGTACAATTCATGTGTCAGTATCTCATCCAGTAACTACAGATAATTCAGCTGTAATGCAAATCTTTCCCTTTACCATTTGTGGATGACTATCATTGTCTAAATTGCACCCGCAAAAATGTTTAACCAGAATGTATCCGCATATATGTAACCGTTTTCCTAGCTCAAATATAGTATATTTTCTAAACTGTACCAGATTGTTTAAAATGTGTAACACATTCTGCAGTGACAATTCTCAATCAATAAAAAAGATCCTTTTAAAAAGCAGTTAGTTGGATATTGATGATAATTCTATTCCTGTGTAGTTTCAGATGTAAATATATTGTGTATATGACTTTTATATGTAGTTGTATATGTAGTATATATCTCTCAGATTGAATATGGAGTCTAGGTGAACCAGGAGCTCATCCAAAATGGCACATGGCATCTGAACATCCTGGATTGTAGTACCCACACCAAGAGAAATTAAACACCAGTTCACCCAATTGCATATTTTAGGAACATGGAATAGTTACAGGAAACTCTCACAGCCAACCCTGGCAGTGTAAGGGCTACAGTGCCACCTGTAATCGATACTGATCTAAGCAAATGTTTCCCAACCCAGTCCTTGGGAACCCCCAGACTCGCTCCATATTTTTGCTCACTCTCAGCTCCCAGCACACTTGAACCAAGAAATTAAGAACACCAGATTCCTGGTATGGGTGTGGTGTGAGCTGGGAGAGACCCAAAATGTGGTATGGGGGTTCCCAAGGATTGGGCTGAGAAACGCTGAACTAGGCAATTTAAGGATACCTTACCACTGGGCCCATGATATGAGATTTTGATCACTAGAACAAGGGTGGCCAATCTTATCCGCAAAGGGCCGCTGTGTATGCAGGTTTTCGGCGCAACTCCCTAATTAGGTCACTAATTAGAGGACTGATTGGCTGAAGGGTCCTCACACCTGGGTTTGAACAGCTGACCTACAGGTTGTCCCAAAAACCTGCATACACACCGGCCCTTTGCGGATAAGATTGGCTACCCCTGCACTAGAATATGGGTTGTTAATTACCAGGCTGATGGTCAAGAATGTTGTCCTTCCAACTGCTTATGCTGGTCATGGGGCAGCGGTTCTTGGCTGAGTCCTGAGTTTTCGCTCTAAAATTGTAGCGCAAAAATGTGGACCGTCTCGGGAGCACCAAGGACTGGGTTCAGAAACACTGAGATGTATGTTGCATTTATATAGGGCCTTTCATGACACCCAAAGCACTTTACAGAAGCAATGGGGAGCCACTTCAACCACCAGCACTGTGTAGCCCCCACCTGGATGATGTAACGGCAGCCATTCTGTGCCAGTACACTCATCACACAGTAGCTAAGGTGGTGAAGGGACAGGAGAGAATTCACCAATTAGATATAAGGGATGATTAGGAGGCCAGATCTGAAAGGGCCACAGTGGGCAATTTTAGCCAGGACACTGGGGTACCATCCAAACTATTTTGAAAAATGCCCAGGGATCCTTTTATGTGAGCTCTACATGTTCACAGGGGTAGGGCTGAAGCTCCAAGCTGTGGAGGTGACTGTCCTGTCCCAGTTAAGGGTTTTAAATACACTTCTGTGTATTTAACATTTGTGTAGGGTAGGCTGATGAAACTGGCCAGATCCAGGAAGTCATCATACAGATTATGAACAGCCAAATTGGTATTTTACTTATAAATCAGTTACTAAATGAAAGGAAATGTTAACAACTGTGGGCATGCAGGGCTCTGCTCCAACATTCCTCCATGGTCAGATACCAGCACCACCTAAAAGCATGATATACACACTTCTGAAAAATTCTAGCTTATTCCAAATAGTCTGAGCATTTCCAGGCAAGGAAATGACACAGTGCTACAACATAACTGTGTGATGATTTAGCTTTTAGTATTAGCCAAGCCAGCATCTAGTGGTAGGTCATATTTTCTTGTCATTCCAACAAAAAATAGATACACAATATAGCCTATACAAATTCAGGGATTATTGCCCAAGGGAGTGGCCCAAAAATGCCATGGATAGCAACAATTTCTTATGCCACTTAAGATTCAATAATGGTCACAATGAAGATGACAATGGGATTTTTGATGCACTATTAACCACAAGGACAAATGGCCATTCTGAAAACAATATCCGGTACTCCTGATTTTGTTGAAGGTCCCTAGTTTCTAAATGACATGATATTTTATTTACTTCTAAATCAAAATCACACATTCAACTAGTATTTCAATCATGTAGTCATATATTTTAAGATACATATACAGTATAAATTCTATTGACATCCCAAGAGTGATTCTGTTAGCAGGCGATATTTACTGCTGTTAAGACAGTGGGAATTTTAATTAACCAGATTCTCTTCTAGTTATTTAAAAAATCTATACAAAAAAAGTACCAATAATACTATTACTAGTGTCATTAAAATACATGCTACATATCCTCAATGGGTTTATATCTTCTATATTCTTTGTTTTGTTATACACAACAAACTTCTGGTGGCTATTTTTTCGATGTATTACTGTTTTTGTGTTATCTAAGTGCTAAGCATACCACAAAACATATGCACACTACAATCATCCACTATGTCAGCAAACCAGAAATACCACATATGTCCGATCCTTAAATGTCACCACAGTACCTGTATGCAATTTACAGTTAATAGTATGCTTAAACAGACTATGACAGTATCAGTGACAGTGTTCCCAATCTGGCCCTTGAGGGCCAACAGACAGTCCACGTTTTTGCTCCCTCCCAGCTGTCTGACAGGGAGCAAAAATGTGGACCAAAAACAGTGGGCTATGACAACTGAGTCCTTCAGACAGAAAGAGGTTGACTGGCAGTGATACTGGGTGACTAAATCCTGCCTGTAAAGCTTCCAGGTTGGTGAGCTGGTACTTTGGGCTGTCAAGGCTCAACTGTAGGACCAAACACATTTGGAATAATGGAAACTGGTTTGTACTGACAAAAGCCTTTATTCGCCACACATTATACTGTACCTTTGCAATACCATGACTTATAAATCATTCAGTTTTCAGTACAATTATTTTAAATGCCTTAGCTTCATTGATTTCATAGAGTTCACTGGCATTACTTAATGAGACAAAATTGTGCACCGTTCAAATTTAAATGTTAAAGATAACAGGAATACACCGCTACCACAATAAAAAAAAAAATCAAGTTTAATTATTATTTCATCTCATTAGGAATTAAAAATTATGAAAAATAAAACACCAGATGCAAAAATGGTGAATATGAAAGAAATAAAATTAAGACATGAAAATACTATGTGCAATTTGTTACTACCAAATATCATACACATCATTTGTATATTGATAAAATGGCTACTTTAATGCTGATGACCTCTAAGCTGGAGTGCGCTGATGTCCCAGGTCAAAAAGTTTTGTCCAAGTGGGTCTTCCAACAATCACTTCAAACCAAGGTTTCAGAATCATTGTTCAGGTTTGTCTGCAGGTGCTGGCGCTGAGGCACAAGGTGACAGAGGACGAGCTGTGAAATGGTACCGTTTTCATGGCCAATGCTGAAAGCAGGCTGGATGGAATTCTTGAACTTTTTGTAGAAAATATGCAAAGGCTGTCCGATAACCACATTGTAGAACTGCAGTTGTCCCTTGTCATAGTCAAGGAAGATGCCTAGACGCTCAAATTCAGACCCTTTAAGGTTTATGGCATCATCATTATGTAAGGCCAGCAGCCTGCCATCATCTAGCTGCAGTGCCCACGACAGGCAGTCTTCACCAAGTGCATGCCTATTGCCCTTCTGCTGCCAGCCTTCTTCCACGACTCCTACAGTCCAGCTCTCAGCACCCTTCACCTCCACCTCCCAGTAGTGACGGCCGTTTGTGAAGCACTGAGCTGCCAGGATGTTAGCAAAGCTCTCTGCTCCTTTGCTTGGAAGCTTGTTGAAATAGCGGACCTGGGTTTTGTCACTTGATGTAGATAAATTGTTGTCAGCTGTCTTCTCATCGAAAGTCAGGTTCTCTGCAACTTCAAAGAACAGATGACATACCATTACCCCAAAGCTGTTAGGATGGCTCATGCAATACAGTGCTTAGCTGTCTATTGAGTTGTTTGTTTTTTTACATACATACACTATATGGCTAAAACTATGTGGACTCCCCTATGAATGGCCAGTTCACCACACCCATTGCAGACAAAGGAAAGTAATTAAGCATAGAGTCATATAATCCTCTAGCAATAAACACTGGCAGAAGAATAGGTAATTGTATAGAAGAGGTCAATGACTTTCAACTCATGTAACAGGCACCATCACAGGACTCCACCTTTCCAACAAGTCAGTTTGCCACATTTATGCAGTGCTATAGCTGTCCTGGTCAATCATAAGTGAAATAACTGTGAAGGTGAAAATGTGTGGGGGAAATTTAAAGTGTTTAGCCACACAAGCTCACAGAAAGGGGCCTGATAACCAGCATCAATACCCAACCTGAATGGCAGCAAATTCCACCCGTAATCCGAAATCCCAGAAAAGTAGAGGATATTATAGCAACAAAGTGTGTCTAACATCATACAGTATATGGACAAAAGTATTGAGGCACCTGGCCATTACACCTATGGGAACTTTTGTGACATCCATTCTAAATCCACAGGGATCACAGCTGTTCAGGGAAAGTTTTCTATGAGAATTTGGAGTGTGTCTGTGGGAATTTTTGCCCATTCATCCAGAAGAGCATTTATGAAGTCAGGCATTGATGTTGGATGTGAAGGCCTGGCTCAAAATCTCCATTCTAGTTCATCCCAAAGGTGTTTGATGGGGTTGAGGTTAAGGCTCTGTGCAGGCCAGTCAAGTTCTTCCACACCAAACTTCCCCAACCATATCTTTATGGACCTTGCTTCATGCACTGGGACACAGTCATGCTGGAACAGAAAAGGGCCTTCCCCAAACTGTTCCCACAAAGTTGGACGCATAGAATTGTCCAAAATGTCTTGGTATGTTGTAACATTAATAGTTCCCTTTACTGGAATTAAGGAGCCTGGCCCAACCCCTGAAAAACAACCCCATACCATTATCCCTCCTCCACCAAACTTTACAGTTGGCACAATACAGTCACGCAGGTAATGTTCTACTGGCATCTGCCAAACCCAGACTTGTTTGTCAGACTGCTGGACAGAAATCATGATTCATCATTCCATAGAACACATTTCCACTGCTCTAGAGTCCAGTGGCGACGTATTTTATACCACTCCATCTGACACTTCGCATTGCACTTGGTGGTCTTTCATGCAGCTGCTTGGCCATAGAAGCCCATTCCATGAAGCATACACTATATGCACAGTTTTGTGCTGGGGGTTAATGCCAGTTTGAACTCTGCAGTTATTGAGTCAAAAGAGCACTGGCAACTTTTATGCACTATGTGCCTCAGCACTTGGTGGTCCCGCTCTGTTACCTTACGTGGTCTGCCACTTCGTTGCTGAGCTTTTGCAAAAATTCCATTTACATTTGACCGTGGAATATCTAACAGGGAAGAAATTTCACGAACTGACTTATTGCTAAGCTGGCATCCTCTGACAGCACCATGTTTGAATTCACTAAGCTCTTCAGAATGACCCACTCTTTCACAAGTATTTGTTAATCTGACTGCATGGCTAGGTGATGGATTTTATACACCTGTGGCAATGGGTCTGAATGAAACACCTAAATTCAATGATTAAGAGGTTGGCCCCAATACTTTTGTCCATGTGTATCAACACCCTAGGTTTTGGAATGAGATTTTAAACTAGTATGTGTGTCCACATACTTTTGACGACATAGTCTATGTACTTTACATTGACTATCTATGTGCAAAAATGCTGAAAAGTTGTACGTATAAACAACTTTGGAACATACCAAGACATAAAACCCTTTCTTGTACTGCACATTAGAGGACAGTACAAATTAAAGTAAATCACTTGTGCCTGTGTTTCTCAGATGTTATGAAAATAATGAGAGTTACAGCAGCAAAACACGGGTGTTGTTTTTACATTCCCATGGCCGGGGCAGCAGCTTCTGGTTCTCCTGGAGAATTTTCTCTACAGAATTCACTAGTGCACTCAGCCTTGTGGTGTCTGCATCCGTTTTTTCCTCAAGCATCCTGTAGAAATCATCTACGGCTTCAATACTGCGGAAATAACAGAAATTCAGAAACCAGGTGAGAGTCGCAGTGGTGGAATATTCCCTATCCAGCTGGGAGACATATTGTTTGCTGGGTCTTCCATGATTTTCCAAGATTTTGTTGTCCGAGTTTCCCCTGTGATGTAATTTCAACATGGCGGCTTACACACTCAACAGTAATTCTATTTTATAAATCTTTAAAAATGTTTATTTTGTTAAATGTATTGTTATAAATGTAATTGCACGTGTTCGATTTAGAGAATATCATATCATAACAGTATCCTAGCATGCAATATCAGATTTTTACCAGACTTGTTAGTGTCTTTGGTTTGTTTGTAGTTTGTTTGCCTCTCGAAAAAAAGAATAATTGCTATGAATGTACTAAAATATTTTATAAAGCTTTTAATGCAGTTTGACTAGTTCGTGTTTCTTGTTTGTTTGTCTCTCGGAAAAAATAACCTCACTCCAAATCTGCTAAAATATAAAGCAACAACACACAGCAGCGTGTTCATGGAAGCAGCCATGTTTGTTTCGAGATGTGGTAGCTCGAACGGGAGATTGTCGGACGTGATGTCATTCAACTCGGAATTTCTGAGTTCCGAGAGAAAAACGAACGCACCATAAATCTAATTTTGTCTGCTTGTACCCGTGATCTGGTGTTTTTTGGTCATTACTTATTGTTAATTACTATAGGTTAGGACAGGGATGTAGATTGGCCAGTATACCGCAAGCATCATCTAAAAGACTCGTTTCATGTCTTTCTCCTGTTTCATAACCACTGACCTCCTCAATGCCCACAAACTTGCAATCACTGAAACTCTCAGTTAGATAAGGTTATCTTCTATGCATATTGTGGGTGCTGGAACCTCTTAATCAGAGCTAGAGTCTCCAGTCAGCGATGGACAAGATGTCAAGGCACATTCGTGGCTGCAAGGCCATCCAGTATGGGAAGCAGGACAATGCTGAGTGAAGTAGCCTGTCAATCTAACACTCCTACTTGTGAGGACATTACTTAAACTCTTTCACTAAGGATAGACGCTTTCCTCTGCTATTGCCTTAGATGTGGTGGTGCCTGTTCTCATCCTTGAAAAAGAGGTTTACTTCCAGAGGCCAAAATATGCATATAAGATAACCTTATATAACTGATAACTCAGGCCCCTTCCTGGGGTAACTTTCCACATTCCCAATGCCAGTGTCCACTGCCAAGATCTGATCTGTCTGCGTCCTACCAGGAGTTCAAATTAAGATCACAATCCTTGGGGGGGGGGGGGTTCCTCATGAAACTGATCACTTTTATATTTAGGGAATTTTCAGCCAAAAGAAGCAGAACCTAACACGTACCTACTTTGTAGTGCTTTGATTTCCTGTGAAAGAAAAACAAAACAAGGTGAGAAGTCTGCAGACAAACCATATGCATCACATATAGTAGTTTTCACACTTCATTTGGAATACATATTATTGTTTAACATTTTAAAACTTGTGTATGTGCTGAACTTTTCTCTTAAGTCAACTTAAATTCAAAGAGTACATGACTGAAATTCCCATTCCTAGTTGTTAATCATCCCCATAACCCTGTACTGGTCTCATGGTTGCTCCTAATCATGCATGCCTTCTCTTTAAGTGTTTGGACTGCACTGTCAGAAAAAAGTACCAATTTGTACCTTGGGGGCTATAACTACTTGTCACTGGGATGGTACCCTCAAGGGTCTCCCAGTTGTACCCTAGCCCTAGAGAAATATACCTTTTAGTCTAATATGAAGTGCAGAAATTGATTCTGATTAACATTTTGTGCCATTGAGGGTACAATAATGTTGTTTGTACCCTGAGGATCAAAACCATACCAGGGCTGTACCCTTTGTTCTGACAGTATGATGGTTGTACACAGTGTAGCCTCGGTGTTTTAGTATAGCAGCTAGCAGTTTTACCAATAATGTGGACACACTGTTGCCTTCCAGGTTGTGTCGAAGCTGAGCCACAGCTTTGCCGATGTCAGTAGCCCTTTGGTTGGTCTTATCGACTTCCTGGGCCAACCTGTCCAGCTCCTTTCCCCTGCTCTCTTTCAGCCCTTGGATCAGAAGCAGTGCCTGTTCCTGGTTCTTCTTTATTAGCTTTCTTAGTTCCTCGTACAATTTGTTCACAGTCGTTGTGGCCTTGTCAAATTTCTCCTGCCCATGATTAAAAATACACAGTTATCATGTGAAAACATCCTTTTTTGATACCACAAATAATACACTTAAACTTCAGCCTTAATGCTGTCCCCTGTGTCAACAATAACACTGTGGATCTCTGAACTTGCCTGACAGTTCTAGTTTCCAGATGTATCTCAATCAAGGTTTGATTTCGGCATTGATAGCCCCCGCCCCCCTAAACACACAAGGTATCCCAACATTATTGGCAGGGAAATGTCCCTACCATCCATACCGAAATCTAGGTCCTTGATCTCAGTCATTTTTTTTTTAACAGAGTACCTTTTCATGCTCCGTTTATTTCTGTTACATGATTTTAATGACCCTTTGTCTAAGTTCATGCAATACCATAATTGGTAAACACAACGCAGGCAGAACTTGGAAACTGCGGACATACCAACTACTAAACTGTAACCAAAGGTGATGCATTTAATCTATGTTTACCTCATGGTCCTTCTTCGTTTTCGATACACGTGCGATAACGTCGCCTGTTTTTGCATACTTGATCGTCAGCTTTTGGGCTTGTTTTGTGACCTCGTCCTAAGACACAAGGGTAAAACGCTGAGCCACGATTGCCATTTACTGTTGTTTTCCGCATTCCTGCAATTTAGCCGAAACTTTAATAATTTTGAAATGGGCAGCAAAAGTTGTCACATCTATGAATCAATTAGGATGCAAAGATCTAAATGAATAAGTGAGCCTCTTTTCATGCTTTGGTACGACTGGTCGCAGTTACAATTAATGCGACAAAGAGCAATCAAAATAACGTAATAGTAGTATTGTTTCTTGTTGACACGATTAAAATTTATACGATACCGCATTTTACACACCCAATTATGAAGTATAACAGGCACACAGGTAAAGCGGCACACTTACGATCTGTTCCTTACAGGCGTCCCGCGAGCGGACAAATCCGTGGTTCCTGTGCGCGTCGCTGCTCAGGCAGTCCTCGCAGAGCAGCTCCCGGCAGCGTTCGCAGAAGATGATCAAGGCGCTGCCGTGGAGGCTGCACACGCACGGAGCGACGGAGCCGGGCGAAGGCAGCTGGTATGACATGCCTCAGGACGCCGCGATGAACAGATGAGAACTGCACGACGCACCCAGGTTCAGGTGTAACTAGGGCTGGATTCCGAAAAAAACCTTCCCCACCTTCTGCTGAAACAGGTGTGGTCAGAGGTGAACTCGTCCTCTCCTCCCCCCAATATCTGTGCAACTGTACTGAAAGAAGAAATTCTTCATTCTAGATAGTCACAGACAAGGGCGTAACATGGTGGGGGGTGAAGTCTCCACCCATTTAGGGGGGGTGAGGTCTCCACCCATTTAGGGTTGTGTTAGCTAGTTTTGATATGGTCACATAGCGATTTGTGTTTGGTCTACCTATTGCTTGGAATCAGCAACTGGAACTACACTACCAAAAGTCACAAGACACCTGTTCTGTTCCAAACAAATGGTAATATCCGGTTCATAGGCACAAAGTCCAGGCCCAATGGAACATTTAGGCAGCTGAAGCCATGCTACGATGGCCTGCATCACTGCAGAGGTTAAAAGGGGGTAGGGCAGCACATCCACGCTTTCAGGTTACTGCTCACGGGAACCGTTTCCTAATGCACCCAGACAATCAGAGCCAAGGGCAGGCCAACAATATTCATGGCTACATATGTCCCATGACTTTCAAAAGAATGGTGTGTGACATCTTTCCTCATCATCTTTAATTTTAAAATTTCTTTACATACTTTCAGGGGACCATGTTCTAAATGGCTCTAGTTATGGTTTACAGTGCATACACTATAAGAGGTTCATTCAGGAGGCTATAGACAGCCAACTACAGCTGATAAATCTCTGCTAATTACAGCGAGATTCCTCCACCCAGGTGCGATCAACCCTTTTTGCAGCTGAAAAACCAGAACCAGTGTCATTTAGATACAAGATATTTTTTATTCAGACAAACCATTATTGCATTTACATTTTAAAAAGTACATTTTGTAGCACATGGCGCTAGGGGATTGGCTAAGCCTGATTCGGCCCCCCTCCTATCACGGTAAGTGGTATCTTCATACCTGACAAGTGGCCCACCATGAGGTGACTGATGTGTGAATGGTAGTAGTGTGAGCACCCAACTATCTTCTTAAAGACATTAGAAGAGCATTACTCCTCTCTACATCATGTCTTCGCATCCATTTGTTCCCCTGCCTGCCTCTCCCACGCGCCTGTGACATCACAAAATTTTAAAGGGTAGTTCAGCTGATTTATCCACGAGACAAAACAATGTCATCTGTCCTGTGCAGGAAGTTATAAGGAGAAATAGCATTTTATTGTTCAAACACTGATAACATTTTACTGGAAGAACAAGAATTTAATTATGATCATGGCAGTCGAAAGACAGTATAGCTGGAGGACAATGCTAAAATGGGAACTGGCTTTCATTCAGGGCAGGAAAAAATGAAGGAAAAAAAAGTCCATAAAAGTGTACAACACGAGTCCAGTGTTAAAGCCAGTGACATCTGAAGGGCTTAGATGTCGTGTGTCTGCCTGTTGAACTTTGACTTTAAGTGCTCCTTGTAGGCTAAGATGTCTCCATTCCATTTGGTGATCGTCTGATTCTCGCAAACCCAGATCTCTTGTGCCACCTGGAGAGGGGAGGACAAAAGAGCAGCGATAATTAGCCAAAAGCAGTCTGAAATGTTCATGGTTTATGTAAAACATAGCAACGGTGAGGCGTGTTAAGTAAGGAGGATGCTGTGTGATTTGTGGAATCTGACAAGGAAACTTACTGGATGTCGTCTCTGATTATTTGCAAGTTTTATTTGTCACGCCCAGTCCTCTCTGTCTGCCTGATCCTCCCGTTTGCTCTCCAGTGAGGCTCTAAACAAGCTACATCTGTTGCTCATTTGCCTTTCCTCTCGTTCCTGCCCTCATGTGTACTACCTTCCGGCTGTATCTCGTTTACCCCTCATTAGTCAGTGTATTTAAAGTCTCCCCAGTTCTATGTTTGCTAATCCTGTCATTGCTCCTTGTCTATGCTTCTGAATCGATGTCTTCTCTTAAATAAAGTCCCGCATATGGGGGTTGCTCAGCACCAGAAGCTACATCTGGGTCGTACTTCCTCTGTTTAGCTCGACATTATTCTGCAGTACCATATATAATGAATTAACTACAAGCTGGTCTGAAACCACTAAAAAGGTTCTGGGGCTGTCACCCTCAGGGCGTGCTTCAAATATACACTGGAAATTTACAAAATACTGATGCAAGTTCACAGGTTTGATGACGGTGGCACCCAGTGTGACATCCAGAATGGGAGATGCCATACAACCCCAGGCCCACTTTCAAGTCCAGCGCATATTCAGTGACTCTGTGCTGTCCGACACGCGGGTGGGCGATCCTACCTGCTGGATGAGCCGGAAGTCGTGGCTGACCAGCATCATGCCGCCCTCATAGTCATTGATGGCATCTGCCAGGGCATCGATGGTCTCGATGTCCAGGTGGTTGGTGGGCTCATCCAGGAACAGCATGTGAGGACACTGCCATGCCAGCCAGGAGAAGCAGACCCGGCACTTCTGACCATCAGAGAGGCTCCGGATGGGGCTCACCTGACAAAGGGCACATCTAGTCTTCTCACCCCAAGCGGCAGCAGAACAAGCTTAAGATTCTTCATATTTATTTGAAAAGTGCCATGAGTGCTACAGACAGCTAACTGAATTGGTCCCTCCACATAACATAACACAACATGCTTACAGACAGAGAGACACACACACACATACAGACATTCTGAGAAATCACACCCCAGGAGGTGTTAGGCTACAGTGCCAACAACTTACCAAAAAGGGTATATTGGTTTTAGTATTAAAATCAAGATCCAGAAAATCTGTATTTTAATACTTGCCAAATCAAAGCATCTAGCAAAAATATTCCCTTCTTAACCGCACCACAGTTATCTAAGAGGACTCGCTAAGCAGCAGGACTCCCTACATCTGATTCACGCTGTCAGAGTGATCTGAAGATGCCCAACTGTTTTCTCAGGTAACGGTGGAGTGACATTCAGAGAGCATTTCCAGCGTCAGGTGCTCACCTGCTGCTTCCCAGTGAGGCCGTAGCGCCCGATGACCTTCCTCATCTCCTCTTTCTCTTTGATCTCCGGATAGCACTTCATCATGTAGTCCAATGGAGACAGGTCCAGCTCTAGCTGCTCAGTCAGATGCTGCAAGAAGACAAGCCCAAGCTGAACTGTGAACTCACTGGGATCATGCACAGGCAGTTTCCCCAAAATGAACCATTATGTCACTCAAATGAAGAAACATATTTTAAAATTCTTTCCAGTCACAAAGTACCTGACATAAACTCTCATTTAAAATGTGTTTGCAGTTTTCATTATGGTCAAAGAAAATCCAGATTCAATGATATAAACCCATGCTATTATTCTCAATATTATACATCCCTTAACATTATTATGACTGATGGGGGAGGTGATATTTCTGTGTATCATTTAAGGAACATGAATAGAGATAAAGGAACTCTTGCGTTGCAGGATTCGGTGTTAGATAAACGTTACCTGGTGGTACCTGCCAATTTTCACGTGGGAGTGTTTCCTGATCATACCATCTGTGGGCAGAAGCTGTTAGGGAGAGACAAAGCATACTAAATCAACAACATGCCAAAGGAGGACAGCAGATTGAGGTACCACATTACTGATGACATAGCAGTTCCACACAAACTCATAAGGCCAACAAGCCAACAACATCATATACAGAGAGAATGCAATTATATGCCTCTAGGTAGTCATATGACAGGAAGGAAGCTGAAGACACACCTCAGTATAGTCATGTGACAGGAAGGAAGCTGAAGACACACCTCAATTAAGTCATGTGACAGGAAGGAAGCTGCAGCTCACCTCACCCATGAGCAACTTCAGCAGTGTGGATTTGCCAGCCCCATTCGGGCCCACAAGAGCAACGCGCGTGTCCAGGTCAATACCGAACTCCAGATTCTTATATATGTATGGCTGAAATAAAAAAAGAGAATCAAAGAAATCAAAGCCAGAGCAGCCATATAAACGCCATTAGCAGCAGGTAATCTGACTGGAAATAATGTAAAAACTGCCGTAAACACATTTAAACAATTTCTTACTCATTTTGCTAACAGATGCCTTCAAAAACGGTATTGAAATTATCCATTGAAATAAATGCATCAATTTTTCAGCAGTTCCCAGCTAAAACATTGGTTAATTTCACCCTCGATTTTGTCATAGAAGCCCAGCAAAAAGACCATTACCAAAATAAAGCTTGAATAACAAAGTTACTTTCACAGTGAATGCTATGGACATGAAGGTCCCCATTCATCAGGTCAGGGGATACCCCAATATCCATATCTCAAAACCCATTAAAGAATAAAACATTCCGACATTAATTCTAACCTGGGCCGATTTTTAATTTTTACCTGCCAATACCTACTTGAAACCACACCAGGTGAACTTACCATGTCGGCAGAGTATCTAAAGCTCACATTCTGCACCATGATAACCGGAGGCGGGATCTTCCCACAGGGAGGAAAATAAAATGACAGGGTCTGAAGGAGACAAGACAGTTAAGTATTTCATTGTAGCAATTTAGGTTCCCGGAGTCACACTGGCACTTTGAAAATGGATTGGCTGGCTGAGCAACTTAATAATTATGAATGCTGACGGATTATGATTTGTTAATATAATTACACATCTATACGGTCTCAGATCACAGGGTGCTCTGACCAGGGTGTATTCATACCCTGTGAAGGACTGTACCTACAGTCCAAGATTTACCTTGTCATTCACTATGCGTTCCGTGAGGCCCGATGTCACCATCTTCTGCAGGGTCTTCTCTTTGCTCTGCGCCTGCCGGGCCAGCTTGGCAGAGCCGTGCCCAAACCGTGCAATGTAGTTCTACGACCAGCCACATGCTCAGATAAGACCAACTATACAAATGGGACTTTCAATTCCTACTACTGTCCAGCAGGTGGCGGTGTTCACCTTCATGTGGGCAATCTGGTCCTGTTCCCAGTTGTACCTTTTCATCTGATTCTCTTCCAGTTCTGCCCTGGTCTTCACATACTGGTCATAGTTACCCTGCAGTAAAAATGTAAGCAATTAAAGTCCTATTATTAGAAACCTGTGGCTTCGTCTGTACTATTAAAGATACCATTACCTCCCCCATCTGTTTTTAGCCACATCTGAAGTTCACCCTTATCCCTATAAGGCAAGTGAGCCCATTAAGTTTCGTGCGTCATGGTTTTCTGTCCTAAAGGAACATCTGCTTTTAACCCCCAAGTCCACATCACACAGCCATTCCAGAAACCAGCCATACCAAAGTATTATTATCATTATTATTATTACTATTATTATTATTATTATTATTATTATTATTATTTATGTGATCATACAGTATTCTATTATTCTGGATATCCTATCAGTGTACTGTGTATTTTTAAAGTTTGTTTGCACTACATTTATTAGCTTGCACTGTATGTACTGTCTTTATGCTTTGTGGTTGGCACTATATGTATGCTTGTGCACTACGTTCTCGCTATTGAATGCACCAGAATTCCCATATGGGAACAATAAAGTTTTGATCTTCATCTTGAACTTGACTTCAGCGCCAGCCTCAGCTGCCTACCGTGTAGTACTTCAGCTTCCTCTGGTGCAGGTGGATTATGTTGGTGCACACGCCATTCAGGAAATCCTGCGAGTGGGAGATCAGGACGAGGATCCGCTTGAACCTGTTGGGGAGATTCGAGACCAAACATTCGAGACCAAATATTCATGGAAGATCGCTTAAAGACCAGGGTTATTATTGAAACAAAAACAATAAGAAATCATTTTTGTGACTGAAATATGATACAAAAATAGAATAAAAAAAAATAAAACTAAATAAATGAATACTGTTTCCGAAACTAAAAATAAAAACAAATGTCAAACACTTTCCATTAGTATTTTTACATAATATTTATGTAATGTAATGATTTGTTTGTCTTTAACTTTAAATAATACCTGGAACATGTTTTGCCCATTTTGCGAACATTATAACATAATGTGAAGTCTGTATCATTGAGATATAAATAAATAAACCCCACTGAAAAACTAAATTTGAAATGAAAATTGGGTAGCACTTTACACTAAGACTACCCTTGTAAAGGGTTTATGAATGGCTTATAATCAAGTTATTAATTCTGTTGTAGCACTTTGTAAATCATTAATAGACAATTCTAAACAAGCTATGACAATTTTTTTATTAATGTGTTACTACCATTTATAAGTGGCAAAATGGACCTTTATTGTGAAGTGGAATTGAAAATTGAAAGCAATATGAAATAAAAACTAAATTAAACAAATCTAATTTATAGTACTGGTAAGAGCACACAGATTTAAACACAGCATATCAAACTATTTTATTTGACAAAAGAGATACCTTTCAGCTAATCCAGCTACCATCAGTGGTCATTAACGTTAGACGGAAACTCTGTAAACTCTGACCATCGCTACCCCAATTTTTCTAACTGTAGGGACCTGTAACGTTATCGCTGGCATCAGAAAGGTTCCTGCTCCTAAAATGGACAGGAAAAGATGCAGCAGAGAGGAAGAAGAAGCTCACATTTTCAGTTCTTCCTCCAGCCACACACAGGCCTCCAGGTCCAGGTGGTTGGTTGGCTCGTCAAGAAGCAGCATGAAGGGCTTAATGAACAGCGCCCTGGAAAGCAAGTGGAGGGAGAGGAGCTCGCAGTCACCTTCAGCATCTGGGATCTACAGGAAGCTTTTCTTCTGGTGTCTAGAAAAAGCTTGTCAAGTAGAACAGCTGTGCAGGGAAACTACTGTTTTAGGATGCTGGAGTAACCTAGGCACACCAAGAATGCATCATTGCACTGTAGCACCAGTCCAGTCCAGATTACAAGGAGGCCAGCTTCAAGCACTTACTGTTGTTCCTGATTTATTTAGCAGAGGCTCTTATTCACAGTAACATACAATTGAGAAACAGGGTCAGACACTCTCTGAAGCAATCAGCATTAAAGTTCTTGCTCAAGAGCCCAATGGTGAAATTACTCTTCCAAAGCTGGGATCTGAACCGACAACCTTCTAATTATAAGCACAGTGCTGAGCCACATGCCACCCCATAGGTCAACCCTATTGTCAACCTCAGGCTCGCACCCGGGTCCTTTGGCACACCAGCAGTTGAGCTCTGAGCAGTTGGGCTCTCCTGGCTTACTATTCAATAACAGTTGGAGTTGTGAGATGAACTTGGCTACCCCTGGGGTTGGACACCCCGCCAAAGGGCGGCGCTCTCACCGGGCCAGGGCGACACGCATGCGCCAGCCACCACTGAAGTCCTTCAGCTTCTTGCACTGCATGGCGGGAGTGAAACCCAGGCCGTGCAGGATGCGAGAGGCCCGCACCTCGGCCTTGTCGGCGTCCAGCTCCTCCAGCCGTTCATAGAGCTCCATCAGCTTCTCACACTCCGCTGGAGGGGGCAGAAAGGGAGGCAGGGAGACAGTCTGCAGGATATTAGGAGGAGGATCCCACACTCAGCCACAGACCCTCACCCGCTTACACTGGTGCACCAACGACAGCATAAAAATTAACATCACTGAGAAACAACCATGCTGTGTTTGTGCCGAATGATGAACTCTATAAGAAATCGATATGTACCTTTTATCAAATGACTGATTTACAGCTGGGACACCATGACATTCCTCAGAATAACCCAGACATTGAGTGTCCATCACCATAGTCAATAAAACGGGCGACCTATGAGTAAAATGATTGTCTGTGTGTCTGTGTGTGTGTGTGTGTGTTCCATGTGATGGACTGGCATCCCATCCAGGGTGTGCCCCAACCTTGTGCCCTGTGCTGCATGGCATAGTCTCCATTACCCCCCCCCCATGACCCTGACCAGGAAAAGTGGTTAGAAAACCATTAGATGATTTAGCTATGACAGGTCTCTTCAAATCTGGACCTCATTTCCAAATCCAGGCCTTGTTTTCAGTTCTCCCTGGCAGTTAGTTTAATTACTGATTCTGATTGATCAGAGGCTTCACACCTGGCTCACAGGTAAAGGAAGGCTGGAAAACCAGCAGTACTTGGACTTTGAGGACCGTGATTTGATCAGCCCTGAGTTATGAGATTGTATATCTTTGTGAGACACCTCATCCTGTGCCGATCTCTTCCCAGGAGCCGGGACACCCAGCGGATACTCACAGTCCTCGTGGGCCAGGCGCTCGGCCTCCTTCTCCAACAGGATCCTCTCCTGATCCACCTCCATGACGCACTGTAGCGCCGTCTTCTGGCTGGGAGGCATTTCACGCGTCAGGTGGAAGATGTCGATGTGCTCAGGGACGGGCATCTCACGGTGGCTGATGGCCGACAGCAGCATGGACTTCCCTGCCAGGAGACGGCATTTTGGATGATATTCCATAAAAGTGCAGCTTTCTCTAAATGCTCATCATCTTAACGTTAACTGCCATGTTCATTATGTACTGAGTTTGTTAGCACATACACACACACAGGTTTGTAATTATATCTTTGTGGGGACTCTTCATTCATTTCCATGAGGAAATCTCAACATGATGACCTTAACCCCTACCCAGCCCTAACCTTAACCATAAGTAACCAAACAAAATATCTTTTGGCATTTTTACTTTTTTGATTGCATTCGCAGATCTTAGTGGGGACCTGGAAAATGGTCCCCACATCATCAAAATAACAGGTTATTAAATCACATTGTGGGGGACATTTGGTCCCCACAATGTAATATAAACATAATCCACTCACACACAAACACACACAAGAAACCTACATTCAAGTCAATGTAACTGCAATCTAGCCGTTAATTTACTGTCACATTAAATCACATCAAAACAGCAGTAATACTGACTGAGCTAGCACCAACAAACATTTAATTATTTACATTTAATTATTGCAGGCTGCGATGATGAGGAAACATGGCGGACCTGTGTGTTTACACACCAGTGGTTTTCTGGCACAAATGGTTTTTAATTCATTTATTTGAACATGCATTATAGTGTCATCAGCTGTAACTGTGATATCTGGTAGCTTTTCCAAATCCATCACCTCACAGAATTCCTGATCCCGTGCCTCTCAGGCAAACCACGGACAGTCACGGGGTGATCATGTTAGCGAAGCCCCTAAAGCTAGCCACCCCTTCCCGCCATCTCCCAGGAAACAACGAGCATCACCTGTGCCGTTAAGGCCGATGAGGCCATAGCGGCGGCCCGAGTTGAGCTCCAGGCTGGTGTCGCTGAGCAGCTCCTGACCATGGAAGGTTAGGGACAGGCTGCTGATGTGCACGTCTGTGCTGTTGGGATGCGAGGCCAGCACGCCTGTCACGGCCCGCGCCTCCGTCTTCCTCAGCTCGAACTCGTCCAGCTCCTGTTTCAGGCCGGCCATGCCTGCATAGGAGGGGGGCAGATCATCAGGGCAGTGGTGTCCAAATAGCACATGTGGGTCCTCAGTGCCGTCCGAATGGGCCGACAGTATACGGCCCAGTCCTGAAGAACACTCAGGGTAATGCAATGGCGGTAGGAGTCTCTGCCTGATCAGATGGTTACTGCCTCTCCAGAATTTTCATTAGGCCCTCAAGTGTGGCCCCTAACCCCCTGCCAAAATGCTCCAGGGGTGCTGAATAAATGGTGGACCATACGTGTGTGTGTGTGTGTATAGAGTAGGATGGGAGATATGACACTTCTTCAGGTCCCCATTTGGATAATCTCAATTTTATAAAAATCTGTGAATGCAATCAAAAAAGTAAAAGTGCCAAAAGTCTTGTATTGTGGTTGGTTACTTATGGTTAAGGTTAAGGATGGGTAGGGGTTAAGGGTGTTGTGATTGGGATTAGGGTTTTCCCCATAGAAATGAATGGACAGTCCTCATTTAGATAGTAAGACCAACTTGTGTGTGCACGCGTGTGTGTGTATGTGTGTGTGTGCGTGTGTGTGTGTGTCTCACCAGAGAGCAAGATACGTAAAAACTACAGATTTCCTATATACCTGTACAAATGCTGAATAAAGTATTAATATCCCCATTACTTTACAGTACAAGCATTATACAGGAGTTATTTCTTGTTTTTCCAGGACCAATATTAATCAGAATCTCAGCTGGTGAAGAAAGCAGTTCGACGTAAGAAACAAAATACTTTAAAATGTACATGATGCAACATTATGTTCACTATCTCCACTTCTCGAGCTTAGGGATAAATCTGAAGCATAACAGCACACTGACACGTCACTGGGATTAAGCTCTCCCAAGTTAGAAAACAGAATGACCTGGGTCTGACCTAATTAATGGAGCGTAATTCTGAAATCGCTCGTGAAAGACCAGTTATAAGAAGCTCCGTTAAAGCTTAGATTAAGCTAGAGTGATTAAGAATGTGCCATTCAAAAGAACTGCGGTCATATCCACAAACCAACTACAAATTACTGTAAAATGGTAAACGTTGGTGAGACAGCTAAAGAAGATAAATGTCAACATATGAAGTATTTTCCTGTTTTGCAGGGACAGTTTTCATTTGACACTTTCCAGAAAAAGTCATGTTAAACTGGGTCAGAAGAGAGATTTCAGCACGCTTTCAGCACAATTTCAGACAAGTTACTGTCCCATTAACCAGTAAATAAACATATCCTCAGTTATGGAACAAAATGCTTAAATGTTTGCAGTTAAAAAATATTGTAAAGTGACAGAAGTTATACAGAAAATATCACAGTTATTTCATAATCCCTATACACTGATCAGCCGTAACATTAAAACCACCTGCCCCCCTCGTGCCACCAAAACAGCTCTGACCCACTGAGACATAAACTCCTCAAGACCTCAGAAGGTGTCCTGTGGTTTCTGGCACCAAGTTGTTAGCAGCAGATCCTTTAAGTCCTGGAAGTTGTGAGATGGGGGCGGCATGGATGGGACTTATTGTCCAGCACATCCCACAGATGCTCCATCGGACTGAGATCTGGGGAATTTGGAGGCCAAGTCAACACCTTGAACTCTTTTTCATGTTCCGCAAACCATTTATAAACAGTTCTTGCAGTGTGACAGGACGCATTATTCTGCAGAAAGAGGCCACTGCCATCGGAGAACACCGGTGCCACGAAGGGATGCACTTCGTCTGCAACAATGTTTAGGCAGGTGATACATGTCAAAGTAACATCCACACCAATGCCAGGACCCAAGGTTTCCCAGCAGAACGTTGCCCAGAGCGTCATGCTGCCTCCGTCCGCTTGCCTTCTTCCCATAGTGTCTCCTGGTGCCATCGCCTCCCCAGGTAAATGACACACACACCCGGCTGCCGACATGATGTAACAGAAAACTTGAGTCATCACACCAAGCCACTTTCTTCCATCGCTTCATGGTCCAGTTCTTACACTCACGTGCCCATTATAGGTGCTTTGCATAGGGGACAGGGGTCAGAATGGGCCCTCTGACCAGTCTGCAGCCATGCAGCTCCATATGCAACTATCTGCGATGCACTGTCTGTTCTGACACCTTTCTATAATAGCCAGCATTGACTTTTTCAGTAATTTGTGCTACAGTAGCTCTAAGTGGGATCAGACCAGACACGCTAGCCTTCGCTCCTCACGTACATCAGTGGGCCTTGGGCACCCATGACCCCATTGCTGGTTCACCGGTTGGTCTTCCTAGGACCACTTTTGGTAGATTCTGACCACTGCATACCGGGAACACCCCACAAGACCTGTCGTTTTGGAGGTGCTCTGACCCAGTTGTTTAGCCATCGAAATTTGGCACAGTTGCTCAGATACTTGCACTTGCCCATTTCTCCTGCTTTCAGCACATCAACTTCAAGAACTGACTGTTCACTTGCCTAATATATAATGGCACCCTTGACAGATACCATTGTAACCAGTTAATGTTATTCACTTCACCTGTCAGTGGTTTTGATCACATGGCTGATCGGTGTACGCACCCTGAGCTACAGCTTGTGATCGGTTTCTTAAACATGATTAGGGGATGAAGAAGCTCAGCTCGGTGCCACCTGTCCTCTTCAGATAACAGGCTTTTCCCCAGCCGGCACCACAGACGCAGAAGACGGATTAACCGAAACATTCATTTCAAGCTCATGTGCATTTTGCAGAACTGGTGTCACCTCAGCTGAATATGAATACTGCCAGACACAAGGCAGGCAGACCAGTAAATGGAAAAGCAGTGGTGTTCAAAACAAACATGGTATCTGGATAAATTCCGAAACACCCCTTTTTATTTCACACTATAAAGGCGGGATATACGCTCACAGTGGAATCATCAGTGAACCCATGTCAGCTATTGAAAGGAATTCCAGAGGACGACAGATTCGGCTGCAATTATTTACATGGATCGCTTAATCTATCCATTAAATTTCCCAGCTCTTGACCAGTATAGAGGCTGAAATGGGGTCTATCCCGGGCAGCAGAGGGCACAAGTTTGCCAGTCCATCCAGACCCACTCTCACACAGGCATCACTCACTACAGGGAACCAAGGCACCAAACTGCATTTGTGCTGCAGGAGGAAACATATTTACATTTACTGAGCAAATAATTTTATTCCAAGCAATATACAATTCAGAAAGAAGAGTCAGTTAGCTCCTTGGAACAATTGTGGTTACAGGCCATGCTTAAGGACCCAAAAGTGAAATCTGCCAACCATGGGATTTGAACTTATAACCTTCTGATCATGGGCAGTGCTATGCACCACGCCACACTGATAAAAATGACTACTGAAATAACAGCGGTGCTCTTTGCCCCTGCCTCACCATTTAGCTCTGCCCCGTCCACGCGACTCTCCGGCATGTCCCCCGCCTCGCCCACCTCATCCGGCTTCTTGGCCCGCTGGCGTGTCTTGGCCGCCTCCTTCTTCTTCGCTGCTTTCTTCTTCGCCAGGTCGGATGGCATAGCTACAAGGGCCGGGATTACGCTCCAGAAAGAAAGTGACCTGAGGGGGAGGAACAGGCCAGGACCCTCTCAGCTTCATGCATCTGAAACTGAAGGAGCCAAGCTAAGCTGAAGCAGCCATACTACTGAAGTGTACATACTGACGAGCTGCCTAGTTTAATTGGGTACTGGCAGGGAAAAACTGAAAATTGGCCCAGGTTAGACGTAATAGGTCAGAATGTTTTATTCTGATACCAAATAAAGATACAAAATTGCAAGTCATTATCTTTAATGGTTCTTGAGATATGGCTACTGGGGTACCACCTGACCTGATGAGTGGGGACCTCACTTTCACTTCCATCACAGAAATTTTGATACCAAAGTTGTTTTTCAAGCTTTATTTTAGAGGGGCATTTTGTTGATTTCTATGAGAAAATTGAGGATTAAATAGACCAATATTGTAGCTGGAGAATGCTGAAAATCATTGCATTTCAGGGGGCAATTTAAGTGTGTGGTGGGTTAATTGGCACCCCCTCCTGGGTTATTCCATGCCTTGTGCCCAAAGCTTCCCGTATTGGCTCCGGGGCCATGTGTAGGACAAGCAGCTACAGAAAATGGATGGATGGAATTTAAGTACATTTTTTTAAAAGAAATAATGACACGGTATAGGTAAAAGAGTTAGAAATCTCCTTTATTTTTCTGAAGAAAGTATTTAAATATGACATTTCTGGAGAGAGAAATGGTAAGTTGAATCTGAAGCATTTTAGGCTAGTATTCACACTATCATCCAGTCAGCTTACCCGCAGGGTACTTAGTCATCCATGTTGAAATAAACAGTGTAAATCTCACTTCAGCATGTTCTCATTTTATTGCTGTGCATATACATTTATTCCAGTAATTCTGCAAATCTGAAGACGTTACCATCACAAACACAGCAAATAGATTACTCAGACTGATTAACGTGTACGTAATTACCACCGGGTTTTAAAACACTTCAATGAGCGACAAAGTTTTGTTAAAAAAAAAATAAAAAAAAAAATACTGGAACAAATATTAATGTACATTCCAGCAAGTGCTTTAGTAAAAGTGCGGTTGAGGTGGACTGTCCTGAAAGGTCTACATCTGCTTCATCATCATGACGATCATCTTCATCGCCGCCCCCTGCATTACGGACCTCCAGACGCCTCAGTGCAAAGTTCCATCAAATGCGTCCCTCCCTCCCGTCATCAGTGATCCTGAATGAAACCGGTTTCGCCTGTCAAACCACCTCGCGTCAGGTTAACCCTGTACTTCCGGGGGCCCAGAGACTCAAAGGGCCACCACAACGCCACCAAAGATGGCTCATCCGTCCATGCCGCCGGACTTAAAGACGCCGTTGATCGTTTAGAATAACCTGGGTTTGATTCGTTAACCAAACCGAGTCAAGCGGGAATAGCCGTCTAGGCCCCGCACACCTTGATCGTTTTTCTCAGGCATGTAACGTCACGCTAAACCAGGCAAAGCGAAAGCTGCTGACGCCCGTTAAGCAGCTACTCTCTCCAGCTGGCTGATTGAAGGACGGCGGGGTGCGCTTGTCCATGCAGCCGCACCGCGCCGGCTAACGAGGCTAGCGTAGACGAGTGGGACACTATTACCCAAATCGAGACACCGTTACCGGCGACAGTGTAACACGTGCACTGATCACAGCTGTACATCATTACCGGCGACAATGTAACACGTGTGCTGCTGATCACAGTCAGAATGAGACACCGTTACCGGCGACAATGTAACACATGTGCTGCTGATAACGAGCGTGTGGATCCTACCTTCAGTGGACGGAACCAGCGGACTGTCACACTTGCGTCACCCCGATCCCCACTTACCGGCCGATGCAAAGCCCAGCCTTATTTGGTCACTGACTGCTGGGAAGCGGCTCCACCTCTTCTCCACTCCTGGTGGGGAGAACAGCTCGTAACTTGTCTTTCTTTACGACTTGGAAGACAGGAAAAACTTTTTATCTGCCTGACATTCTCCAAGAGTGCCGATCCACGGTTATTCTTATTCTCCATGTTCTACTTCACACGTCGACGCACAAACTGAACCAAGAACGCTCCTTCTACAGACACTTCGCCACGGCACGTGAATGTTGGTCATAATTTTAATAATCAATCCGTGTCATCTGATCTAGCCTATATATCACAGACTATCACTGTGATGAAACTGTCTGGGTGTGCTCAAGTTATTCAAGGCACCAGCAAGGTCTCACCTACAAGTCATTGCTGCTTTAAGGAAAGTTCTGCAGATAATCACGCAATTCCAGGTTCTACAGGGTATGCCCACAAGCAGCGAATATCCTAAATAACCATGATCCACATTTGCTGACTGAGGGTTGATGTAATTGAACAAAATCTTATGAGACACGTATAAAGCAAATCTGGAAGGCAGCTATTTTTAGAATCCCAGTTTTTAAAGAGTGCCGATCATGGGGTTACACGTGGGGACAGGGCACGTTATCTGTCATGTTCGGAGCAGGCAAAGGGAATAGAGGAAAGGGGTAAACACGGGATTTATTAAGGGGGTAACACACTCAGGAAGCAAATGGGAGGGATTGTAAAGGGCTCGTATTTTACTGAATAACAGTTTCAGAAATGGCCTCCTCATTTGCAATATTTCATTCTTATTTCCTTATGACCTACATCCAGATAGCTTAACATTTTATTAATCATATTATTAATGTGAAGACATTTTGCAGCGATAAAACCTTGCATTGATAGGTGGAATGGATCAATTTAACTGTTCTTCCAAATTTTCTGGAAGCTGCAAAGTAGTTAATCATTTTAAGTTGTTCCTTTCAATTGGCAGTACTTCACTGACATTGAAATAATAGTAATAAAATGCTATATATAACATCAAATGAATAACTGTGATACATGTGCTTTCTCCGCGGTAATTAGCATAGCTGAGTGGTAATTCAGCTCTACTTGGATGAGAAAATTCAGACTGTGAGCATTGCGTTTGCATTCATGCAAATGCTTTGCCTTTTCAGTGAAATGCATATTAATCTGGATGAACAGAAAAATATGTAAAATTATGTTCATCTATAGTGAATAACCAGTAAAGATAATTATCTATGTACAGAAAGTTCGAGCTGTAGCCTAATGATAGGCGTAGGACATCTATCCTACATCTATTCCTACATCTATGGAAGTAGAGAGATATCATGAAAATGTAAAATTTATTTAGAGTAAAGAGTAATGACAACTGGAAGGTGATCATTGTACTTTTTTTACTACGACACTGTAAAAGCAATTTGACAGCCAGCATCATAACAATGTAATGATGTTTACTGCAATCCTGACCGTAAAATGGAAATTCAAACTGGCAGACCTGCATCATAGGGCCTGGGAAAACGCATTAGCATGAGCAGCTGTTGGTCTACTACTCCCAGCTCCAGTCAGTACACCAGTACCCATTTGAAACCAGTTGAATTATTTACTGGAGGTTGCTCTGTGAAGAAGTGTAGATTTCAAAGGTATTATAGCCTACAGGTATAAAGATATTATATACAGTCATGCCTAGAAACCTGTGATATACCCAGCGCCACTGTATATTTGGGCCTGTCCGTCAAATTATATACTCATAAACAAGATCAAATAAATGAATTGTTCTTGGAGCACGTGCACCAAGGCGACTAGGACCGTTTTTAGCGGAACTACAGGTCTGCGAGATCCGTTTCCTCCGGGAGTCTGGCTACGCACGCACAGTTCTGAAATTGCTGGCGAACTAAATGGTTTCTTTCTTCGTGGACGCTGGAGGTGGAAAAAGTATCGCCTCCTTTTCCAAGTGATCAGAAGGGGCACTTCAGTGTCGTGAGTCCGGCATCACAGATCGGGGCATACAGGGGGGCCGCAGCGAAGACCCGCCTTCACCACATGATGAGGACATGGTTTTCTTTTTCTTTATTTCCTCTCTCCCTTGCTGAGAAGGAGGAAGATATGTGAATGCGTTTCTTCAAACAGGCGAACGTTTATCATCATCATCATCATCATCATCATCATCATCATCATCATCATCATGGTCCAAAAGAAATTCGTCTATTTTTATTTTGAAAACTGGCCGATTTCGAAGGGCAGTCTGCAATTAAGACGCTGTACGATCGCTTTTGATGACACTATCGGGTATTTCCTGAGTGATTTCTGTCGATTCTTTTCTCGAAAAGTCGAACAAGATGTAGCTGTTAAACTACCAATTTAAGGACTGGACTGTTTGAAATATATATGCATCTTAGTTAGCTTGGTAGTTCTCATTGGGACACTGCAGGATATGACTTTTCCGCGAACCTGGGAATAAAGCGTGTGGTCCCTGCTCATGCGAAAGTTGCTTGTCTTACTTCAGACGTGTTACATCGAGATAAATGCATTAAGCCAGTGTTAGGCACTGCTGATTTAGTATGAGGGCAGTTACATTGCGAGTGCACTTACTCTTTTTCGGAAATCGTTGTTTTAGTGCTGTTATGTAGAAATGAGCGCACTGTTAGACGTCATTAATTCTACCGGTTACGTGGAAACTGCTTGTAGATAACAGTATAACCGCATTACAGTTTATTATGATGCATGTATTAGGATTTATGTTTATACATGCACAACTAATGCATGCTTGAACTGAAATCTGAATCTCTATGTAACTGCCTCGGGAAGGAAAAAAGTACCAGCATCCGTGCCAAATACCCACATGCATCTAGAAAAATGATACCTACTGATCTGACAGCAGCAATGAGTCTGGGCCTTATAAGCAGTGCTTAGTTTATAGCAGCTTCTGTCACGAGTTCTCATCTGATTTTTTTTTTTTTTGACCCACCCAGGAACGGTTTCCCTGTTTTTTTTCCCCCTATACGCAGCGGTTACTCGGTGCCATGCGCGTCTACTCCCTGCTTGCCGTTTTCCGGCCGGCGTTTCCCCTCATTCTAGGGCTTTCACTGGGGTGCAGCCTCAGTCTGCTCATGTTATCCTGGAACCAGGAGGACCCCGAGGAACCTTGTAACAATGAGCTGGCTAATGGTGGGCTCGTGCCAGGGAGACTGAAAGGTGACTCCCAGAGCAATTACAGAGACTTGGCTAATGAGGATTTCCAGCCTCGCGTCATTCCATACCAGAGGGACCCTAGCAAGCCACATAGGAAAGTGCTTAGGTGAGTGTGGGGTGGAGCTTTTCAAGTGAGCTCATCAATATTTAATATAATCTGATTTTATTACATCTGATAAGCTATATTATCCATCCTTCTCCCAGCCTGGTGATGGGGAGGGAGTGGGTCCTTTAAATGGTATTATATATTGACTTTTAACACTGAAGACTCTTAGCAGTTACTCTAAACCAGTGTTTCTCGACCCAGTTCTCAGGGACCCAGACAGTCCACATTTCTGCTCCCTTCCAGCTCTCAGTGCAGCATTTCTTCAGTGCATTTCACTGAAAAGGCAAAGCATTTGCATGAAAGCAACCAAGAAGTCCAGTTCGCTCTTCCGCCTCTGTGACGCGTTGTAGAGCTATATGGCCTGGGGGACAAAGGACTTCCTCAGTCTGACAAATCATTGTGAACAGAGGAAAGAAAATGTGAAAGTATGGAGTTGGCAGGGAGCTGGGCTTCTGTGTCAGTCTGTACGTTTGCATGCTTCGGATGCTAAGTGTCTGATGTGGCTGAAGCTCTTAGTAGCTGATCCTCGTGCTTCCCAGTGCAGATGTGCTACAATGAAACCCGATCGTGTCCCTGCTTCTCACTTAGCTTCACTCTCTATCGCTCATGTTCGCTTGTGGTGTATCGTTACTCTGCTGGCTTTGCTCAGTCCCAGCTGGCCTCTTAAATGTTTCGCAGTTTTTTTCTCCATTGCTAATGTCCAGTTCATATTTTTTTGAATAATCAACCATTTATACTTGAAATCCTTTTTCAAGGTTAACCTTTATACAGATAGTATATTATAAATCTTAAAAATAGATCAGTGCCACTTATTGAAATACATATTGAACATTTTTTGCATATTAATGTTTATTTCTTATGCAATTAAAATGCCAGTTATTCATATTGAACTATAAATCATTGTGTATGTAGATTTTATCTCATTTGTTTGTTGTGTCACCTTGTAGCGTTTTCTAATGTTAACATGGAGGATATTCCTTTTCAGTTTCATTACAACACAATGCAGTGCTCGAGGCAAATAAATTAATCATTGTTGAGCCAGAGACATGTGCCAGGAAATGCAGAATTTATGTTCTCAGAACTTCCTTGTGTGGTTTTGCAATTTTCTACAAACCGTGGTTCTGTAGACTGAGCCTCAATTGGCCTCTGCTGCTGTTGACATCTTTGTACTTGTTGCACACTGTTTTATCCAAACCTTGATGCAGGAGGAGGACCGGTGCAGTCTTCTCTACAGTGTCATTTTTTTTAACTTGATAAGCTGGACATCTTTGTCCTGCATTAGCTGGACTTATAATTTCACTGCTACTTGGCTGACAATAAGATGAGAACTGATAACAGAAATTTGTTTTCCGCTGGAAGCGTGTGATGAAATTGCTAAACTGCTAAAATTTCAGTGCCGTTTTCCGCTATGTGACAAGCCACAAGCATTTTTATTAGTCATACATATGTAGAGTTTCCTGTGTGGTTCTGTAGCAACATGTTGTTTTATATAATTAATAGCTGCACCTTCTCTCCCATTCAGGACACGTTACATTCACACAGAGCTGGGAATCCGAGAGCGCCTCCTGGTGGGAGTGTTGACTTCCCGCGCCACCCTCAACACGCTGGCGGTGGCCGTGAACCGTACTGTGGCCCATCACGCTCACCGCACCTTTTTCTTCACTGGGTTGCGCGGTGCCAAGCTGCCGCACGGCATGACTGTGGTTGCCCACGGCGACGACCGGCCCGTCTGGCTCATGTATGAGACGGTTCGGCACCTGCATCAGCACTATGGTACTGACTACGACTGGTTCTACCTGGCGCAAGACGACACGTACACGCATGCCGAACGGCTGGCAGAGTTGGTGGGCCACCTGAGCGCCGGGCAGGACCTCTACATGGGGCGGCCGGAGGAGTTCATCGGCGGCGAGGAGCGTGCACGTTACTGCCATGGCGGGTACGGCTACCTGCTCTCCCGCAGCCTGCTGGCCCGCTTGCAGCCCCACCTGGACACCTGCCGCAATGACATCCTGAGCGTCAGGCCTGACGAGTGGCTCGGCCGCTGTATCATCGACTACTTGGGTCTGAACTGCGTGGAAGAGCTCCAGGTAATGAATATTAAAATGTCTCAACCTGAGGATTATTTGCTGTTTGAGTCTTTTCCCTAATTGTGTGGCACCTTATGCTTGCAGGGGGATGAAACTTTATTGGTATAAAAAAAAAACTGACTGAGTTTAAGACTCTTCTGTAGGTTTGGGTCTGGGATTCGGTTTTTCATTATTCAAAATAGCATTTATTTTTTCCAGAAATTGTTGGATGGACATCTAAACCAGATTGCCATCTGAGTTTATTTTTCACATTTTGGTTTTTTCCCCCTCTGTATTGCTGCACAGAAAAGAGAATTTTAATTTTGACTGCTTTCGTTAAGGAGTAGGGCTTTGTGGGAAATGCTGAAAACGGTACCTGCAGTTTTGTAATTAATTGCTTCAGTGAATCGGCAAGTGTGTTTTGCATAAAATGATGCTTGCAGTCACCTCCTTGTTCTCAATCAGATAAGTCATATATTCTGTAATATCTGTTGTTACCAGTTGTGTAATATCTGGTGCACGGCACTGTCTGGATGTGTTATATAAAATGGGTTGCCATTGCTGAACTCATCACGGTGGGGTCCGAGCCACCCTTTTACCCTTCTAAGTAAATGACACTGGCCTGATCTGGACTGACGACTCTTAGAAGTGTCTGTGCATCTTCGTACATCCATAATTCCCCATTATAGTCTCACCCCAGTGACCTGCTATGGGCCTTGCTGGCTTTCTCTATGACAGCATCCCACACGTTGCGTGAGAACACTGTGACCCACATCATGCTGTCCTCTTGTGCCTCCAGGAGATGCGTTACCGCTACTTCGAGCTGGGGAAGAACGCGGACCCGGAGCGTGAGGACAGCCCGCAGTTTAAGAAGGCCTTTGCAGTCCACCCAGTCTCAGAGCCAGACCTCATGTACCGCTTACACAAGCATTTCAGTCAGATCGAGTTGGACCAGACATACTTGCAGATTCAGCAGCTACAGGTCAGTGCTGTTTACATATTTGCATCTTTCCTATTACTTTGCAACCTAAAATGAGTGTCCGCTCATCGTGATATTCCCTTTGGCACCTGTATCAACCTGACTTTGCGTTCCAGCATCTAAATCGCCACATGCCATTGCTGCTGTCTTCCAGTCACTCACACTTTTCCATCTGTAAATTTAGCAAGTCCAGATCTACTTATGCAGACAAGCTTTGGCGATAGACCAGTATTCTCTGCTTAGATGAGAAATCTGCAGTGCAACTGGTTTGGAGGTCTCTTGGTATCCACTAAGGAGGCTACAGTGCTCAGTCAGTGAGTTTACAGGCAAACACCGGTGTCACTGAAACTTCAGACGTTGTTTAGCTAAATGTCAAGATGAAGCAATTACCAGTGGTCCCTTTATGTGGAAATTTTGACCGATACCAATATGTTTTGGTGTGATGGTATCTGTACCAATAACTGTCTCCATTTGTGCTGCCAGTGAAATTTTTGTTTGAATTTGCTGGCGCTGATTAACATAAAGACATTAGTCATAGTTTTAGAGAACGCTATCAAGCTTTTGTCTATTTTTTTAATTCAGCATCCATTAAAAATTTCCAGTTATATTGTTCAGTTTTAATAAGGGATGACATATTTCTGGAAAGTCAAAACTTAATGTTTTATAAAATGTAATGTTTTTATGGGTCTAAAACAGTGATGTGAACTAATCGGCATTTCTGCACTGTGTGTTCTATGTTTTGGAGAAAGTTTCTAAATTGGTAACTGGCAATAAAGTGACTGTTAAGGAGAGAACACAGACGGCGGTAAACTGGATCTTAATTGTAGCACAGTTGACCCCCTTGTTGAGGCTTCAGCTGTATCCGACTCAGGGAATCCACCCCAAGATTCCTCCTTCCCCAGCATCTCATTCCTAATGTCTGTTTTACTTTGGTCAGGTCCAGATCAGTAACTTAAGTGAGCTGACGCCAGAGGGTAAAGCCGGAAACAGCTGGCCAATCGGCATCAATCCGCCGTTCCAGCCTAAGACGCGTTTTGAAGTCATCAACTGGGAGTACTTCACGGAGGAGCACATTTACTCGTGTACTAACGGCGCTCCCAAGTGTGAGCTGCGGGGCGCGGATAAAGCCGACATCAGTGTCGTGCTCGAGACCGCAGTAGAGCGCCTGAACGAGCGCTACCAGCCCCAGCTTCGCTTCCGCATGCACCGGCTCCTGAATGGCTACCGCCGCTTCGACCCCACGCGCGGCATGGAGTATACCCTGGACCTGGTCCTGGAAGCTTTCACCCAGAAAGGCCACAGCCAGGTCATTGCCAAGCGTGTGGGCCTTCTCCGTCCCCTCAGCTCCATTGAGATCATCCCCATGCCTTATGTTACAGAGGCTACTCGGGTTCAAGTCATCCTGCCCATCACCGCTAATAACCAGGATTATGTGGGGAACTTCCTGGATACGTATGCGATGAATGCCTTGGACACGCACGACAATGTTCTTCTTACCTTCCTCCTCATTTACGACTCGTTTGATGCTCAGAGGGTCAAAGAGGAAGACGTCTTTGCTGGGGTCAAGTCAATGATCGGTGAGGTTGAAAAGCGGTACAGCGACGTGAAGATCCCATGGATCAGTGTGAAAACTGAGGTGCCTTCGCAGGTCAAGCTCATGGACATCATTTCCAAGAAACACCCAGTGGACACTCTGTTTTTCATGGCGAACGTCTGGACCGAGGTGAACGGTGACTTCCTCAACCGTTGCCGTATGAATGCTATAAATAATTGGCAGGTCTTCTTCCCCATTCACTTCCAGGAGTATAGCCCAGCCATTATGTATCGTGAGCAGCAGCCCTCTGCTGGAGCTTCCCCCTTCAGCTCTGACCCTCTGCGTAACGGCCACTTTGACCGGCATGTCTTTGACGAATCCTGCTTCTACAATGTGGACTACATGGCTGCTCGCACCAAGGTGACCACTGACATCCTGGACAACGACGAGCTCTTGGAAAGCATGGACGTCTACGACATCTTTATTCGCTACTCTGGCCTCCATGTGTTCCGGGCTGTGGAGCCGGCACTAGTCCAGAAGTATGTGCGCCGGCCCTGCAATCCTCGCTTCAGTGAAGACATCTACCAGCGTTGTATACTGAGCAACCTAGAGGGACTTGCGTCTCGCTCGCACCTGGCTATGGCTCTCTTTGAGCAAGAGCAAGCTAACAGCACCTAGCTGCTATTATGCTCCATACATGGACCCTTTTTATATTGCCCTGGCTGCGGTACTCTTGGACAAATTAGGCTAGCAGCAATTAGCCTATGCATTGGTCAGGTATTACTGCTCTTGTAGAACGCAGGAGTCTTTTACCCCATCATATTAGTAGTATTTCATATCTAAATATGATTGAGGGAATTCCCATGAGGAAATCACAACAAAACTTGGAGGACCTAGATTCACTGTCTAGCTTCAGTCTCTGACATACTTATTTTGCAACTCTTGTTTTTGCAAGGCATTGCTTTACAGCTAATTTAATTTTTTCCAATGTGCACTTCTTCCATGCCTTGGATCTATGTTGCCAGGAATCTTAAGACAAAAGCTTCTTAAGGAGAGTGACTGAATGTATTCATGCTGACTGCTGTCATTGGGCAGCTTGTAGGTCAGTATGAAAAGTCCCTTGACTGTGCTGCTGCCTCACTGAGCATGAAGAACAAATGCTTTTTGGCTAATGCTACTCATTGCTAAGACTATATGAAGAGTAAATGCAACTGGGGTCGTTCATTTGTGTAAGATCCTATGTGCCACAAAACCAAATGATTTTAACGGTTACATTTGCTTGTGTCAGCCCAGTTGCTTACAATTAAAATGAGTACAATCAGGGACCAAAACGAGCAATGTGCAGGAAATTATCTTCAGCTATGCTAAAGACTTTTTTAATATTAATTGTTGAATGTAAACGGTTCATCTATAGCTATATGAGGAAATATGTGAGAGTTATAGGAACTTAATAAATACTGTATGTGAGTTGAATTTACCACCACGCTGGGGATATTGCTGTCCAGCACAGAGCTTCTGTCTGCTTTCCCAATAGGCAGAGCAAGTGTCTCTCTCTTTTCATGGCTGCAGGGATGTGTTTAGGTTTCCATTTCACAGGAAGTGATGTAAGGGCTGGGGGGAACAATGCTGCCTCAGTGAGCTGGCCCCGGCGGTGCAGATGCTTTTGCTTCCCTCAAATGCTCCCCCTTACGCTTCTCCCCTGAGGCCTTCTGGTACGTCTGGATTCCTGGGTTGAGTGTTCATAGCCTGATGTCCTTGGGAAAGGTGCTCTCTGGCTGCTACACAGTGATAGTCTCCCAAATTTTGGCCTACAAGCCTCCTTGTAACATTTTGGAGTATTATGATGGGAGTACTGATGGGCGTACTGATTAATGTTTTGCATTGGTTTCTGGTTAATATTAACAGGTGATGTATTTTATATGTTCATGTTTCACTGACTCATGATTGGATTTTGGGGCTTCTCCGTTTTGTTTTCTAGTTTGTCATTGCCCTTGTAGACCTTTTGTACTACATCATTTCAGCAGTTGTACATTACATTTGAGTACCCCTGCTCTAGGTAATTTTTGAACTTTTAAACGTTTTGCTATGATTTTAAGTGATTGTTATGGACTGTTGTTGTTTTTTTGTTCACTCCACTGCAGACAACACCTTACAGATAACAATCTATCATTAGTGTGCAGCTAGATTTTGACACAAAAAAGCCACATTATTTCCCCTTCACACAAGATGGGGAGTCATGGTGGGTAATATTTAGCAAATCTAGCAACACACCCCCTGCACATCCTACACTCCATTGTTCTGTATGTGCAATAACTAGTAAATACATTGTAAATACAATATAGAAAGTTCTAGAACAGTGCTTCTCAGCCTTTTTTGCATCACGACCCAATATTTACCATGCTAGCTCAGTCGACACCCTGTATCAAGTATAGGTTTAAATTAACACTATTATCTAGTGCGCAGTGCACTCTTCAATTTACGCCAATCAATGACATCGCACACATCGTATTGGATGTGCCAGTGGTTTTGCTGCTTGAATTGGTTGTGTTCACTAGTTTTGCACTAAGCATTGGCAGATCCAAAACCCGTTTATACAAGTTAATTCTAGGATTGGGGCTTAGGAGTCTGATCATGGATCAGCATAGGAGCTTGCTGGTTTTAAAATGCTTACAATTCCAACTCTGCCTCGCGACCCTTTCAGAACTTGATGGCATAAATTTGGGTTGCGACCCACGGATCTAGAATCGCTGTTCTAGATCATATAGGAGTTCTGTGTAACCAAAACAAAGCTGCTTTCTACATAGTTCTTTATGTGATGGTGTGTAATACATATCTGTCTATCCATCCAAACTTCCTGGATAGGGTCAACCATGGATCTGAGGTAATGACACTGGGGTCACTCTGGATAGGATGCTAGTCTATCACATGAATAACATTCTTCAGGGGAGAACTGGCCATCTAATCAAACTCCACAGATGCAGAGTAGCGATGCGATTCAAACTCACAACCTGCCGAAGTGTGAGGATGCCAACCAAAGAGCCGCCACATTCAGTGTATAAAGTACATCTGACTTGTTCAGGGACTACATGAAATAAAAATACTATTGCATACATTGACATCAAATTTCCATTTTTAATACATCTCTTCAAAGACATCCTTCAGAGGCCAGTAAAAAAAAAGGAGACAGTGATTCAACTTTGGGGCGACAGTGGGACAGGGTGGCAGCAAAATGCCAAAACAGAAAAACACGTCAATTCTCATCAAAGAGTAGGGTTAGGGTTAGGGTTAGGGTTAGGCCAAAAGGCTAGGCCAAACTTTTGGTTTGTCTGTAAAGCATATATTTGTTGAAGCAGCTGAACTAGTTTACCCATTACGGTGACGCATTGGTCAGTCTTATAATGGTACTTGTTTTTTTTCATATATATATAGAATGCAATGACAATTCCTGATCATCAAGAGTCAGCTTGCACTGTTTAAACTTACTATCCCAAACAAAAGGGAACCTTAACATGCAAGACTGAGAACTAGAATTGCCTAGCAGTGGTATGTGTGTGTATGTATGTATGTATGTATGTGTATGTATGTATGTATGTATATTTATTTATTAGTAGATTATAAACTAGGCCGCCTTAGAGCTGGTCTTAGCAAGCTGCTGTGCAGTAGGTTCTCCAGCCCTCCACAGACCACTACCACTGTGACCACCAAGGAGAGAAGTTAATCAGTAACATGAACTTTTAGTAGAATCAGACAGTTCAGTGGCTCGTTGGAATGAAAAACCCGACGACAACATTAGAGTACAAGACTATGGCTGAAGAAGCCCTTCCAGGGAAAAGCCAATGTATAATACAAAGGCTGTTCTGATCTGGCCTTTAACACATGCTTCACTCGACAGGACACAGGAACAAACCAGTACAACTCCCTAACAGGGACAAACTTTGGCAAATGCTCTTTTTATTTACATCCAGGCTGTCTCAGAGAAGCCTCAGCTGTGTCTTATTATTGTACAGACCTCCGGAACAAGGAGGGAATCGGATGCTCCGCTTGACATGTCCCTGGGCCCCCCCCGGAAAGATGCATGCAAAGGAAGGGGCCCGTGGTAAGCAGGGAGGATGGCGACACAGCGTTTGTGGCTGTGCTTGGTTCAGAACCAGCAAGGAGCCGCTGCACTGGTGTTGGTTGGCAAGGCTGAGATCGGGGTTCCCAGGTGGTGACCTCACAGTGTCTTGTAGATTGCAGACGGGGATCTCTCCGGCTGCCAGACAGTGATTGTCTCCAAAATTTTGGCCTACAAGACTCCTTGTAACATACATAGTTGCGCCGCAAGCACCTGCCGATCCCTTTGCAGAGAAAAAATTTGTACAACGGTGTTGCGTAGACCAGCAATGAAGAAACTGAGTTTCCTTGGAATGTCTCTGCATAGCCCAGTGCAATTACCACCTGCTCACAAGTTGCAGTAAAAAAATACCATTCCAAAGGCCTGTTTATCACAAAGGAAGTTAGATAAGAATTTTTCTTCATCTCAACTTCCTGATTGAGTGCTTCCTCAACTTTTTTTTTTTTTTTAAATATAAAAACACGTCCATTCGGCATGCATAGGCTTAGAATCCTTTGTCCAGTATTGGCAGAGGGTTTCAGTTTTTTTTTCCCCTTCCAAAGATTTTTATATTTTCCAAGACTTATTTTCTTAAGTCTTATAATACAAACACACCATTCACGTGAAAGATCGTTGCACAAAAACAGCAAATTTAGACAGAAATAACATCCAAACAGATGCTGGCTACAGTCAAGGCATCTCCCCTGACACTTGTAATCGTAAAAATAATAATAATAATATTGATAATAATAATAAAGTGAAAGGCAAAAAACTTCACATACGTGTGCCCCGCAATGATTCAGCAATAAGCTACGTGCCACTGCCTGACTCGCCTGGAGAGATGGGCCCAGACAGTGGTTTGAAAAGCCCCTTTTCTCCAAAATGGCATCGGTCCTCGTCAGCATGCTACCTTTACGGCAGTGACTTGGTGACGGCAAACGTCAGGACCGTGCTGAGGCGAATCTTTAAATATTGTATCAGTGTCATCATGCAGTGCAACCTGTGGTTGAACGTGGATGCAGAACTAACCTGCAGCTACATTTAATTCTGCTCGTGTCATTTTTGTCAGTATCTCTAGGTTTACAGCTGTGCAAATATCGTCCTTTGTTCCTTAGAAAGCCTTGCAATGCAAACACGGTCCTATCCCTGACAGACACACAACAGTCACACAACACACATATGCTCAGTGACAGCTGTCTTATCAAAACCATCATTTACATATTCTTCATGTAAAAAAAACGAATCCCTTTACCATAGTACTAACTCGATATTTGGCTATGCCGAAAATGTTTGTGTCGAAGTCCAACTTGCAACAGACTTTTGTTTTATAGTAATAGCCAACTGGGCATTAATTATAGACAGGGAAGAGATTAAAACAATTCTTATATGTACATCAATGGGGGAAAGATACTGACATAGAGTTAGCAAGTTTTGAAAAACATAATTAGTGACACACCGCTAATAATCAGCGGCCTTAAATGCATCACACTTCATAAAGATGGACACCAATGGAAAAAAACTTCATGTCTTATATTTACATTTAAAAGAGAAAAAGTTATTGACTGAGTTACCAAAATGGTCTCTTCTGTGATTCGAATTAGCAAGATTCTCTTTAACACTGCTAATGTTATGTGGTGATTAAGTCATGACACTTCATTATTCTAACAATACTATGAAAAACAATGGTCACAGACCTTTGCTGTTATTCATTTACCGTTCTGTAATATTTCCTTCATTACAAAATTCCACTTCAGAGCAAGACTTCATTCATGAAAAGCATTGGTTGTTTCATGGATGCTGATGATTATGGGATCAGCTGGCCTCCCTAGACTATAGATAAGAACTTAAAGGGATTTAACAAAAAGCAACAATAAGATTTTATTTTAGAAAACTCTGACTGCAAAGATGCTGGTGAAACATGCCAGTAACAGCCCAATTTCCCTTTGATTTTCCCTGTGCTTTTCCATTTTTTCCACATCTGGCAACTTGTATTGGTAAGTAAAAGAACAAAACACAAAAATAAAAGCCCCAAACACTGAAAACTGAGGTATTCTATGGAGGCTTTAGGTGATACAGTCACATGCTTCCTCCTACTGCACAAACAACCCTCAGTGCAAGCATGCAGCAAGCACGCAGCTTGATGACATCAGTGCAATGCCACAGTAACGTCAACATGAGGGACTTGAGGAGCCAGGACCCAATAAGGAAGCTTCAAAGCTAAATGAGACCATTAGCGGGAAGTTTAGTTGAGTCCTACAGCAGTAGACTCTATGACGGTACTGTCTGGTTGAGTTTAACTGGAGAAAGGCACACATTCTGGGAAAACAAACTCGTATAAGATAACCAGTCTTGCCTGCAGAACACCCAACTCAAAGATGCTGGTCCTCTTTAGCACGCTGTGACATTGTAGCCCTGCAGCACTGAGAAAAGCCCATGCCTGCTGCCCTGGACTCCAAGGAGAAGACCAAAGTTCAGAGTAAGCTTCTTGCTAACCAGGTGCAAGGCTGAGAAGCTGCTTTCCTGTGTGGTCCACAGCCATCTGGGACATGGTTTCCAATCCAGGTGTCCATGTCTGTCTATAATGACCAGTTTCCCCCGCTAAAGGCTGGACGTTGTGTCATATGTACTGTTTTTATGGCACATATAAAACTCATCATACAGTAACGCATAGAGACTGTACACCCATGTGTTAACTTAAGAAACATGGATAAGGGTGTAAACACAGCTTGGGATTTCATCGACAGAACACAAGGAGGTTCAATACTGACTAAATGTGAATCTGTAGCACCATCACTACTCAAACAACACTGACACGTGTGTGCTGAACATCACTACTTGCGGCTTAAATGCTAACACTGTGGCTTCCTCAAAACTGTGAATGTCCCCTCCTGGTATTTCCACACCCCTCAAGTACTACTGGATTATTACTGGTCCCACATTCTCCAGTTTACAGACAGACAAGGCGACCATGTGCTTTGAGGGAATTCCTAAATGAAGACACGTGAATTACAATGGTCTTTATGAAGTAGCGTGTGCATTGTCTTGATCATGCATGACTAACAAGAGGGAGTGTGGGGAAGTACATAGATACAAACTTGCTGGAACTCCAGAGAACATTGCTGAAGTTTGTTTGTATAAAAGGGTTGTTCTCTGTAACACCAACAGATGATTGCCTTGCAGTTTCACTATTCGATTCCCCTGGGATACAAAATCTGACTCCAATCATAGGCCCCGCGAGACTCTTAATTATGACAGCAAACAGGTCACAGTAAGTTACTACAGGAAACACCAGGACAGGAGGAACGTGTGACAGAGACTGGATGCTGTTCGGAGGGACAGGTGCATTGTTGTTTGTTTAGGGAGGTGTTTACGTGTTGCGCACGGCCAGCGCCTGCTCTAGCTCTTGTCTCCGCTGCTGGATCTATGGAGAGGAAAAGTGTCATTTGTATGACAGAGCAGAAGAGTGGAAGAGGTACAGTCACTAGCTGCCATAAGAGAATATATGACCACAGCAAGTGAAGAACATGCGTGGTTAAACAGGTATTTGAACCAGAAAAGCAGTATAGTGAGAGCAGAACATCTTGTAGCATTTCCTGCTGCTTTCTGAACCTGACTTCAACATGGCAGATATTCCATCTCCTCACCTTGCAGTAGAAGTAGCGGCTAACAGCTTCTTGGGACCATGGCTGGTGGTAAAACTCTGCCCTCCTCTCCTCCTCTGGGTTCCCCACCACGTCCGTCATCACCTGCAACCAGTCACAGGCCAACCTGAGTGGCTCTGATAGGTCTATACACTATGCCCCCTTCTGGATGACATCCAGACATCACAGCCTTGGTTCTGATAGGCCTTTTATGAATAGTATCGCCTCCTGCTTCACCTGAACTGTTTGTACCTTGAGGTCCCTGCTCTGGGACTTCAGCCACTCCTGGATGTAGCCTTTTGGGTCCTTGGAGAAGCTGAGCATGAAGTCCCTCTGGATCTTGAGCTGACTGATGGACTCAATGGTCTCATGAATCTGGGGAAAAAGTCACTGGGAGTCACCTTTCAGTGGGTTCAAGCAATCAATCAGATAAAAAAAAAACTAGCTACAGTAATAACTGAGGCAGAGCTGGCAGCGCTTATGTACGGTAATTGGTAAATCAGAATACTGTAGATCAGAAAAAAAGCCTCACATTAAAGTCAGATTCAGAAAAATAAGGAGAATTTCATGTTGAGCTGTATGATTGGTTTGGAGCGGCAGAATAGGAATATGTTGTAAGCAAACTATATGAAAGTAAAACTACACAAAATATGATCACTAAAAATGTATGGTACTGCATAGATGGCCCTGTAACAAAATGTCTGTGACAGTATTTGTCAACCACTGGGCCACGGATCGCAGTGAAACCCAGTTTGGTCCCTAATGGGCCACCAAACGGATGTGAACCCGATCGTTTACTGAGGGGATAGGGCTGGCCGATATATAATCTTATAGTCATATAAAATTTAAACGATAAGATTATGAGAAATGTTGATAAACTGTCAATAAGGAACATTGCTTGATAGTGCACAGCAGCTTATCGCATCACAAAAACAAATGCAATTCCAACCAATCATGTGGTAGTCTTTTAAGAACTGACAACCTATGCCCAACAAACACACAGTAAGGTCGGTTGACTTAGCAGAGGATGTCACACGCTACTGTTTTGGTCATGGAAGAGATAGGTGCTCCCGCAGAGGAATTTTCGAGTGTCGGTGAAGACAGGGACAGCTCAGAGACACAACATCTTTTAAAAAGGAGATATTGTGGATGAACAAGGGAAAAGAACGTTGATGGTGACGTGGTTCTTTTGGAGCTTAAAAGTCTAAGAGATGCAGTGAACCGGTGCAGTGAACTCTGAAACTAAACTGGAAATACTGTGAACATTTCACCACTTGAAGCATTTCCCATTCAGTTGAATGTACAAAGTGCAAGGGCTTACAGTGACATAAACCTGTAAATAGGGTTTCCCCTTTTAATCTGATGAAATATGGGACACTGTATTAAAATGGGATACAGCATACAGCAAGGGATGGGTGACAACTCTATCAGCAATGTCAAACCCATTCCCTGGAATGAGCAGTGAGGCAGTCAGAGAGAATACCTACAGTAGCAGCAATGCCGTACTGTTGGCATTTTCCAGTGTTATGCGCTATGACAAAAAAGTTTATTTCTGTGCGATTTATTTATTAAAATTAGTTTTCAGTTTCAGTCCATTTCATTTGTTGCGTTTTGTCATATTCTGCATCTGTTTAAAGTCAATCGTAAAGGAATTCAAAGCAAAAACTGAGCCCTGAAGTAAAGAATCAGAATAAGTATTAATTTTGGGTGATATGAAAAAAAAATGATCGTGATAAAATACGCTGCCATATTCCCCGCTCTATGAGGGCACCTCAGGTTAGAAAAATTTACCCTGGGCTGCCAAAATGACGAATGATGAGCTGGGCTGTGTGATTGGAAAGGTTGAGACACTATGCTAACTTTGTCCTGCACCATATTTTATATCATTGCATAGAATTGACTGGCTTAATCTCAATCCCCCAAGGCCTGTGATTAGTTCACCTTATTGTCCAATGAGGCGATTTCCTGCTGATTGGCTGTGGAAAGCAGGAAGCTACTCATCTGGCCCTTCAAGGGGTCCTCCACCTCTACGTCGATGTCGTAACATGCCGTTTTCTTCTGGTCATTGGGATCCACACTGTGAAGACAGGGAGTGCCAATTTAGGAAGCAGTGCTAATGTAATAAATTCTGGGGGCGGTGTGTGGTTCGGTTGGTTAGGACGCTGTGCCTGTGATCGCAAAGTCGCAGGCTCCAATCTTACAGTCGGCAGAGTGATTTAACCGTTGGGCCCTTGAGCAAAGCCTTCACCCCCAATTGATTTAGGAACCGTTTAACCTTGCTTTCTCACGAAAGGTAGGTTACTTTGGAAAAAAGATTATAATTTAGGGCACCCCACTTTGCCTCTGAAGTCATTAATAAATTATATGTATGATATTTAGCCATAGAGACAGATGATAGGAGATAATGTGAGAATCCTGAAAGTCCAGCCCTAGGCTCACCTGATGACGTGGTTGATGACGATTGGGTCAGGGGGGAGCAGCAGGTTGGTGAGGCGCTGGGGGATCTCCGAGAACTTTAGCCGGGGGCAGTCAAAGATCTGAGAAAGAAAAGGAAGAAGGGTTTGGTCAGTTCGGCCTTCCTGAGATGCTTTTCATCTGGTATAACAAAGCGCTACTCCTGTATTCCTGAGATTCAAATTTCTTAAATTAATATTATTGAAAAAATCAGACCAATTGATCTTGCATAAAGAAACAGGATAGTTTGTACGGCAGCGAGGACCATGGCAGGAGGACAACGGGACTGTGCATTCACAAGCGAGCGGCGACCTGGGGCTCATTCACAAGCGAGCGGCGACCTGGGGCTCATTACTTGCTGAAAGTACTTGTCGCAGTTGATGTACTCCTTGTCGTGGGCGTCCTGCAGCTTGTTGGTCTTGACGTACTGCCAGAGCGCTTGGATGATGACCGAGCGGGTCTGGGTGTGGATGCCCAGAAGGCGTGCCAAGCGAGGGTCCAGCTTGAACTGAGGGGGCTGATTAGAGCACAGTAATGACCACATGTAACCGCGGCTTCAATCCATAGTAATATTTCGTCACCAATGCAGCCTGTTTCCCCTAATTAACTCTAAATTTGGTAGTTAAAGCCATAGAAATGGTTTACTGACACACCCCTGTGTAGTGACCACATGGTAACTGGCCTGCTTTTTAAAGTTTTGGTATATTAAAAAAAAAATAAAAAACAACAGAAGGCATGGGTACCATTCAAAACATTTTACTTGTATAGTGCTATACATAAAGATTGAACTATCAAGTACTATTATTTGTATGTTCAAAGGGTCTATTATCTGTGACTGGATGTACTGGATGTACCTATAAAGGAATCCAGGTACCAAATAAGCCACCTACAAACACCCAGGCGTACAGACTGATCTGTAAGTCCTGACGGACTGTTCTGCAGCTGTACCTGAACTTTTCCATATAATAATTTTAAATGGAGCCAAATGAATCCCAGAAGTCAGTCTTCACAACAGCTTGCAGTGTGAGTGCTATTTTAGTTTATTAAAAAAAATACAGTTTAACTTTTTATTTTGAAAAACTCCCACAGCACTGAAGGGCACTGCTTTAGCTTCCAGGGAGTGTCCGCGAACTTGGAACTGCATTGTGTGTGGAGCATAATTCTGCTGGGAAAATACTCCCTGGTCCCTGACCACTGAGTTTCTTGGCTACAGAACTATACTCTTTTATATTATACAGCATAATACTCTGTAAATTACTCCTTTGTGTACAACATATGTAACCTCACCACTGAAGATATTAAAAGCACATAGATAAAATGGCTAAATATTTCAGTTAAATCTTATTAATTATAAAAATATAAGGACCATTCACCATCATCACTCCATAGTACTGCAGATAAAGCGAAGCAGCGACTGCAAATGACAAAAGGTGTTTTGGCGCCCCCACCTGGTAGTCGAGCATCAGCAGCAGGGTGCAGCGCACACTCACATCTCCGGGCCTCTTGACCTGGAAGCCGTCCGTCTCCTGAGTGGTGGGGGTGCGGTGCCACTGCCGGGGACACAGACAGACAGAAATCGTCTAGCAGGCAGGAAGGTGGCCGGAGTCTCAGGAGAGGTCCTGCTGCAGGAGCCTCAGGGACTGAACCACACATGAGTCACTCCAGTAAAATATGAGGAATCTAAGTCACTTTGGCAGAGCAGAATGACAATATTAATAATCACTGACACCATCTGTCCTCCAAAGACTGTTACTCCTTTACAAGCCATTTCCCTGTTCTCAGCCATCTGCAAAAGAGGTCTTCTTCGCCACAAAAACCAAGTATTTCTCTAGAAGGCTGTTTCCCACTCACATCAACTTCTTCTAGTCATTAAGAATGACATTTTCCCCCAACATTATATATAAGTTCCCTAAGGAAACTCCATTAATTTAAGAAAGTTATCTGGCAAGTGTATTTTGGTCAGTCTTTCAGGAGTGTACGAGACGTACACAAAACACCAAAGTAAGCCACAGTCTGAACACATGGCCTTGACAGAGAAATGGAGGTCTTTAAAACCGAAGTCTCGGTTTTCAGGACCTGAGTGCTGCCAAACTAAGGAACGGTGAGGAAGCTGAAGACAGTGAAGTTTTCTGGACAGCTGTGCTGAGCCATCCAGAAGGACCGCATCGAGCATGATGTTTTTCATTCTAGTGGTGTCTTAGCATTCTACACCGGGTGTTTTGAGGTGAAATGAGATAACATATGAGGACACGCCGTTCACTTATTTTTACGACTGTGCTTTCTGTTCCCAGGAGAAAAGATACGCCATGTTTCTGCTGTGCTCTAACAATAGGGTAACGTTACTAAAACGTTTTGTTTGGGGTTGGGGGAATGTTACATATTGCTTAAGCTCCCTGATCTCCCTCATAGCAGCAAAATCCATCCTTTTTACTCAATAAATTTGGAATAAAATCTACAATTCCATTTCTCAGAGTCAGTCCTTTAACATTCCCAACTACATGATCATCAGATGACCAAAAAAAGAGGATCTGAATCCCTTATTTGTCATCAACAAAAAGTACAAGGAATTTGATTTGGTGGTTACACGAGTATACAATTTACACAAACAGTCATGACTAAAACACACAAACCAATAAATAGAATTAATAAAAATGTAAAAAATGTGCTATTAATGAATAAAAGAGACAAGCTGTGGGGTACAAACAGTGAAAATTACAGTATAGCAGCATTAACATATAATGGGTAGAGTAATAGAACAAATTCACAAGAACACAACAGGGACAGAGGGATAGTTTTAAATAACAGAGGGATGTGTCCTCACTTCCACCAGGTGGTTGTCAGGTCCATACAGGTCCTTATCCAGCTCAATCACCAGGCTCTTAAAGAAGGAGGAGAACTTCCGCTTCTGTTTACCAGGCTAAGAAAAGGAGGGGGGGGAGGGGAGACAATCAAGCTACATGTAAGCATCAAAGCTACACCCAATTACTCTGGATATTCCACACCAACCCTGGAAGGCAATAAATCCACAACATTAACATCAGTCATGACTCAGATAATCCAAATTATGAGGTAAATCTGAATATTACAACCGTTATTGGAAACGGCCGCAATGACTCTTTATCAGCCACAACTTTGACGTCACTGTTTCGTATTACGGTTGCTACTGAGAAAGAAGCCTGTTAGGTAATTCAGTTAATCTACCATGACAACAAATGCTGACTTATGCCGGTTAGGCGAGAGGAACAGGACTGAGCCTGTGCGGCTGGCGCAGGGTGGCAACCTGGTGCCAGGTTTAGAGCCAATCTTGAATAAGGAAGCCTAACTGCAGCTATGGAAAGAGCTCCTGCACTGCACAAGACATGGAGCAACTGCTTGAAAAGTCAGAAGATACTCAACTTCACACATTGACATCTGCTACACATGATCACCATTAGGCTCAAAGATAAAAGCTTACAGACCCTTAAGTCTTTGGTGGCTTTTAGCAGCCATAAAGTGACGGGTGCACCTCAATGACCTTATAGGTAGAAGACAGAAGGCGTAAAAGTTTTAATGCCAAATTGCCTGCTTACTAAAAGCTTGTAAGAGTTTCTAGTCAGAAAATACACAGATTAGCTTTTCCCCCAGACAATGTTATTTCAGGGCCTTGCAGAGGCACATTAATTCAACTTCTTTTCCCAACAGCCAAACAAACGAAAAAACACAATGTGAAATCATTGTGGTCTGCGCTGAGCAAGCAGCGGCTTCCTCCTCAAAGCGCTGCCAATCTTCTCCGTGGGTTTGGATGATTAAACTCGACCTCAGCTTTCACCGGGGCGCCTCTCAGTGGCCAAGAGAGCAGGCCACAAGTGTTTTTGAAACATCTAATTTTATCTGCAACGCTTTTGGCCGAGCTGGGTTGCATACGGTTTCATGTGACTCTCGAGCGAGAATGGGTGTTTCTAGTCAGATAAAGAGAGACAAGCAGCTTCGACACCAAATCAAAATAGTGGATACTTCAGAAGAGAGACAAGAAACTGAAGTAGATTCAAGGGAGATACAGAGAGGTTCATAGTGGCACAGTCTTGTTTGACCATGATGGTGCTTACAGAAGTCACTGCTCTGGTCACCATCTTGAAAGAGGACTGTATGAATCGAAATCAGAATCAGAATCAGTAGGTTTTCATTATCCTGAAGGAAATATTGTTAGACTTCACATTACACAACCATGCAACAAGACAAAAATAGACAGTACACAGAACCGAATGCAACAATCTCTGTATAAGAATAAATAAGTACGACATTGAGAGATGATAAATATGCAGGTGGGTGATTATGGCGATAATTATTGCACTTGAAAGATAAAAATACTGAAACTGATACTGATAAGAAAATGTCTTGTTGTACATAAAATTGCACATGTCCTGGCTGACTGATTTACTGATTGTACAGTCTTATAACTGTCGGAAGGCATGATTTCTGCAGGCATTCTGCGTATTTTATGTTGATCAGTCTGCTCAGCAACTTCCCAGACACACCATCCTGACAACATCTGATCAGACAGTCCGTGATCCATTCTGGTAGGGGAGCTTCCACCTTCAAGCAGGACTGGCTGGATGATATTGAAGGAGTTGGAGAAATAAACATGATCTTCACAGAACCTCCTGACTTGTCGAGGTGGGAGTAGGTACAGTGTACCAGGTAGACAATGGCATCATGTACACCAATCTGGGCCTCGTAGGCGAACTGACGTGGCAACTCAACGAGGGGGTGGAGTATCTCAAGGACTAGTCTCTTGAAGGTCTTCATGCAGTGTGAGGTCAATGTCACTGGTCTGTAATCAAATGGAGCACTGGAACATGTCGTCTTAGGCACAGGAACCAGACAGGATGTTTTCCACAGTGTTGGAACCTTCTTCAAATGGAGGCACAGTTTAAAAATGCTCTGTAAACTCGACAGAACTGGGAGGTTGAGGTCCTGAGCACACTGGGACTGATGCCATCAGGACTTGCTGCTTTTCCTGAGCGGAGTCTGCACAGTTCTTTCTTCACTTGGTCCTTGGAGATATTGGGACAGCAAGAGGTGGAAGCAGGTATAGAATGGGAAAGAGGATGGGTAAAGTAGGATGATGGGGGAAGGCGACTCTCAGCCATGACGATTCAGCGGAGTTGGGTAGTCAAAGCTGTTGAAGAGCAGTATCCACAGTGCCCTCTATCACCAGCTTGTGCACTTGTAGCTGCTGATAGACTTTGTGGTCCTCCATACCTCTCTGATGTTGTCCTGCTGGAGCTTCTGTTCCAACTTCCTCCTGCTTCTGTTCAAACTTCCTCAGTTCCTTGCTGAACTTGACTGATAGCTCTCTGTCTACCCTCTCTGTCACACAACCTGAACACTTTCTCCTTCTCAATCAGGAGGGCCTTGATGTCTTTGGTGACACAGGGCTTATTATTGGGGAAGCAGAGTACCCAAAGCGGTCCTGCAGAGCTGCGCTGCTCTCCACTGTCTACCTCCTTACACACTCTTTATAGTAACAGGTTGAATCTCCACCATTTGTTTGTGTTGTGGGTGGAGGTACACTAGGTTGTAGTCTGATCCCCTGAGTTGTGGAAGGGCAGTAGATCTGTGTGCCTCTTTGACATGGCATGCTGTCATGTATTATGCCAGTGGTTTCCAAATTATTTCTGCCAGGCCTCCTTTCTGCAAGTATGATATTTGTGCCCCAACCATTTTCCACTAATGAGCAACTACAATCAACACTAACTAAAGATATTACTTATGATTGTATCAGTGTCAAACTGTCACTTCCTGACATTTTTGTCTCATTTTTGTTAGTTGACATAAATGTCAGTACATTTTGTCATCGATTTTGGCCTGATATATTAACGTTTGTCTCGTTTTCGACATAAAAAGTCTGTGTTGACGATTTTCGTCATAGTTTTCGTCTACGAAATTAACATTAGTTTAACCACTGGGACACGCCCGGAGGTAAATTTGCACCCGCCTAGGGGGCATGCCCCCAGTTTGTATTATGGGGTGCCAGTTTAATGGTCAGCCTACCGAATATAGCATCTTAAGGGCCTCAAGTGAGGTGCTGGTTGAAATGAAGACTTGGGATACGATATAAAAAGGGCAGCCCCCAAAGTAGCATAAGGTTTAAGAAAAGTATGAGCAAAAGGAGACAGCCTAAATATGACAGAGAGCTCACAAATTAACATGGTAAACACAAGAAAGGATAAAAAACAAACAAATAAACTCACATCATCTAGCAGTTTGCCCTCTACTCGCAGTTCCCATGATGCAATGCTGCCATCAGAGTCTTCTGCATCAGGCTTGGCCGGGTTGAAAGTGTTGGAGATGTACAGCCTCAGCTTACGTTTTTGCTGCAGATAAAAGCAGACAACATGTGGGATGCTGAAGGCAGAAGTTCTTGTTTTCTGTACAGCACGGTTTTAATATTTTGTATCTAGTAGGAGCCCGAACATTATATCAAAAAATAAATAAGAAACAATTCACCGTTCCGGATGTCTTTTTGATAATTGCTATTCAGCACACTAGCATACTACTACCTAGATATATTTTGGTAGGTATGCTGGTTGTATGTGGGGTCATTGGTGTGAACATGCTATGGTCTTTATCTAGTCCTCTGCAGCTTCCTCTCTCTTCTTCTCTCCCAGGGAGCCATATTTAATGAGGTTCTCATGAAAAGTCACACCCAGCCTTTTCAAGTCATGATTGTTGATACCCCATGAGGCCACATAAGGTTTCTGGGGCTCTCCATACCCGATTTGATTAGATTTTGTTGGCTGTGTAAGGATGACCTATAAAAAAAACCCTGTTCAAGCTGAGAACCAATGGCAGGCTAAAGGTGTCTTTAATACATGACAGTTGCTGGTTGGTCCACTGAGACTAATAGTCAGGTTTACCTTCATTGGTCTCTTCAGGGCCTCCTGAATGTCCACTCGCTTCCTCATGATGGTTTGGTCTAGTTTGCGCTCGAAAGCCAGTAGGTCCATGTAGGCCTGGGATTCTGGGACCAGCTCGCGGATCTGGCAGGACAAACAAAGACACGCAGCTGAAGCAGCCGCAACAGACCCCGACCTTCACAATATCCCTGCAACAGAACATCAGGTACCCCATAGCTTTTTGGAGTGGCCCACTGCCTAAACGTGACGGTTGAGACTAAGCTTCGCTAAGGGCACCACTGCATGCTTATTTCCACAACTGTCCCATCTAACAATCACAAATTTATGTACCAGGTGCTTTTGTCCCTAGCGATGAACGGTTCCTAGCAATGAATGGTCCCTTCCAATCACAAACACTGCATCCTAACCAGCTGAGACACATGCTGCCCTCATAATATACTGTGTGTCCCATAATATACTGACCTATTCCATAATACAGTGACCACATAATGACAGGCTTCTTACCTGATATAAGCAGACCTGGTCTCTGTGGCCTGATCATGCTCTCTTAGGTAACGGGCACACATCTGAACACCGTGAACAGGTAAGGCGAGCTCCACCCAGCACCCCCAGAAGCTGCTGAACACCACCACATACCCTGGGCTGCCCACCTTGCCTTATACAGCCCAGATAAGAAGTCAGCCTGACTGGGTCCTGCTTATCGTGACCTCAGGGGTGACCCCTATTCTCTATTCTATGTTTCAGACAGAGACCGCAAAGGACGGTGTCCTTCTCAAAGTTAATCCCAGGTGTTAGGTCTGGCCAGCAGGGAAACCGGCCTGAAACAGGCACAGGGACACGATGTCATTGAACACAAGTCCCGCTCACTCCCCAACACGTATTGTGCGCACAGCTTGGATCTGTCATACAGCAACAATGGGAGCTCTTGGCTCTGGAGTGTTTGATATAATATAGGCGCTCTCTACGAATCAGACACACTTATCGCTACAGTGGCTCCCGCAAACCTAAATAGTCTCTCATCCCTCCATCCGCTTATCCATAGAGGGTCACAAAGAGCCTGGCGCCTATCCCAGGGAAGCACAGGGCACAGCCGAAAATAACGATTTAAATGTTTTCCTGGTGGTCACACAATCTGGAAGCTTCCGGAATTAACTTCCCAAGCACTGGGGATGAAGCGCCCATTTGCATTTTCGGCAGGCACCCCTGTCGGCCCCTTGATGCTTTTTAAATCTCGTCACACACTCTGCAATCCCCCCCCCCCTATCACACACCCACCCCCCCGCCGCCTTGCCTGCCCCTGTAATCCAACTGAAACACCCTTCCATAAAAAGCTGCGAAATATCCACCTCATTAACAAACAGACAGATGAACAAACAAACAAACATAAACAAACAGTGACAAATGACAAAAATAAATGGACTCACCCTCTGAGGGAGAATCTTGTCTGCCATTTTCCTTCTCTTGGCACTGCGGTGGGGGGGGGAAAGATAGAAAGAAAATAAAAAAAACAGAGCATGTTACTATGGTGACAGATAGCAGAGTTACACAGGCCATCTGCTAAATTGCTGGGACACATCCAGTTACTGTTGCCAGCTGTTTGTGAGTAACTGGGGGAGGCGGGGCCTGCGTCTCTGATTCGAGGAGAGGGGGTGAGGCGTCAGGTGGTCGACCTGCGCTGTCAGGAGGCAGAGTCGTGCCATCATGCCACAGCCAGCTCGTTCCCCCTTCAGCACCAGCTTTCTCTGCCTTGAAGGGTTTTCTCCTGATCCGTTGTGCCTGCTGGTGCCTAATTCCTCCCCACAAATCCTATTTTCCAGAGGCTCTCCAGTGTTACCAGCTTTGTAAAATGGTCATCATTCACCATTGTTTGTCCCGTATCATACATTCTGACAATTTAGCCAGAATCACTTGTCCAGAGCTGGAAAACATTCCCCCGATGCAGAAAAAACCTCATCAATAACCATGTCACGGCTCCTGTGTTCTGAAACTGGAAGCCCCCCTCCCCCCCACCCCTGACCCAAAAACAGTGGTCATTTAGTAATAATGAACACCAGCTTCTCCCTGTACAAAAGACTCACTGACCACTTAGCAATACACAAATAATACAACGAGTAAGTATGCTATTTTGTGTTTATAATGCGTCGTTTGAATTTTCATGCACTTTGCACAAAAACTCTGGAATGTGGCAGTTTAAACTGTTAGATCTTTCTTCGTAGGAAACACGTCCACATGAAGCGTACGCTTATGAAAAAGCTAAGCGCTCTGGCCAAGGCACAAATCAATAAGCTGTAGGTAAACACACACACAGGAAGTTACACGCTATCGTGTGTAACCTCAGCGTCTCTGGTTTTACCATTTCCCAGAGATCCACCAGGAACACAAAGGTAGAAGGGTTTTCGTAAGGCTAACATGAACAGAGGTGGCAATTTCAGGTCCAGAAATTAACATACCAGACCAAGATTTTGTTTCAACCAACCAGTTGAGTACTCTGTCACTGTGACTCTTTATGCTCAACTGGTTGGTTGAAAGTAAATCATGGTCTGGATTTTTACTTTCTGGACCTGAAATTGCCACCTGTGAACATGAAATGTACCAAAAGCCAACCCGTATCCACAGCTGTAGCTCCAGTTAAGAGATAAAATCTCAACAAGTCATCTGTGAAGTGCAGTAATGAAAGAAGAGAGATAATGGTCCGGGAATCCCTCCGGACTGTCAGAGATCTGTCTGCCTGACAGTGGATTATGCAGCCAAGGACAACCTGAATAATAAACAAAGAAGCTTTTGACCGTTATTGTTAGGTGACACATCAGTCACTGTGATATTGCAGGTTCACTCTCCAGGTGCCATATATAATGAGGTCCGTGTGGAACATCTGGATTCACCGGCACGTTTGCCTGGGCTTTGCTCACTGCTTGCACCCGCCCCCCTACCTCCACATGTGTATGAATGTTTGATGAAATTAGATGAGGTCTGTGCTGGTGCGATGATAGTGGAGGTTGAAATGTCGGACTGTTAACTGAACAGCAAATCCCATCTTTGGTAGGGGCTGGAGCAAACAGCAGTGCTACAACAATGCAACATGAGGCGGTCGCACACCTCTCGGCTTGGGGGTTTGAATCTCACCTCTGCGGCGCATGTGTGCTCATGCGATTTCCTCCCACAGTCAAAGACATGCGGGTAATATAACTACTACCTCTAAAATGGTCACATAAATAACGTAATGGTATAAAATGATAATGGATCCTCTCGTGAGTGGTGTGAGAACAAAGGGGCGAATTTCAAACGACACGCAGCTCGCATGGAAATACGAAGCCGCATTTCATGCACGGTGGCTGAGCTGCGCCATGCGGCCAAGAGCACCACACCAGCTGGACACTGCTTTGTTTTTTGGGGGGGGGGGGCGTGCACTGAAGGCCCCTCCTACACAGACAGAGTGCCCTTGGTGTTCTCTGGCTTGTACTGTGCAGGGATAACAGTCAGGCATTAGAATCAACTGCTCATGAGATAACAATAAAAAAAAAGAGACAGAGGAATTGAATGGAGAAATACATCTGCAGGCTTCTGCAGCATTATATTCCCAGTTCATTCATAAGCATGGCGTCTGCACTGGCCTGCGGGACTTTCTAACACCTCCACAGAGGTCCTGTGACAGGAGCCTTTGATACAGTACTGAGCACCACTCTGTGAAAGGTGGGATTTATAAAGACATGCTGAAATGTGACAGTTCTCCCACGAAAGGTATCCACGTGAAGCCTGAAGAGATTTCACACAAGGAGATTGGTCTGCAGTGGACAACGACGCAGACAACTGTCAGCTGCGAAGTTAAATGTCACCAGGAAGTTATTTATTCCAGAAATCCTTCAGAAGTCAGGATAGCCCAATAAACTGAGTTATTTACGACTTCTCCTGTATTAGAGAAGATAGGGTGCAAGTCAGCTTGACCCTTAAAGCAGGAACCCAGTAAAAATAAGCTGTAGTCTGTGATAGCCATACAGCCCCATATAGACTATTCACTTTGGTGGGTTGATGCCCTCAGCCAATCAAAATATCAAACCTCAAGGTTAATGGGACAAGGACGAATCACAGGAGGCAGGTCACACAGTTGACTTGTGGCCATAAACCTGCAGGGTTTCTGTTATTTTTTTCCGTAATTGTTTCCTCGAAGATGCATCATGTGATTTGAAGGTGAGAACAGCAGCACAGCTACTGTCAGCTGGTGCCCATGGTGAGACCCCCAATCCCCCAAAAGTTCTCTGCTGTTACCGCTCCACTGACAGCAGAAAAAAGCCTCTTCTGTGTACCGTCAAACGGCATGTTCACCTCAAAGCTACCCAGTTGGTCTGGGAGTCCAAAGTATGACAGAACTTGAATCGAGCTTTTGGTTCTGGCACTTGAATATCTTCTCCTACCTTTTTAATTTTTTCTACTCCAGCTCCAGCTAATATAGTTTGCCCACGGAGCTCATCTTGTCATCGCATAGATGGTTTACAGAGAGGTCATTTGCCTACCTACAAAATCCAAAAATGCTTAAAAATCACATTATTTAAGCATTTAAAGTTACTCCGTGTGTGACACCAAAATGTCCTCTTTTGTTAACATACTGCTGACAGTTTTAGTAAATGTCAGCTCTTTCATCTATCTGACAACTTTCTGAGGAACCCAGATTTGACGTCCTCTATGACATCATGAAAGTACTGTGGCCTTCACAGGATTACTGAATGATCTAGCACCTCCCCAGTACACTCCAGGAGACAGACACCTCAAGGTGTTCATATCCCGCCCTCGCAGGAAGGGAAAAGCCAGGCAACAGTGTGAAACGTTCTCAGTTCTATAGGTCGGTATGGAACTATATGGTCCCACCGTTTCTCTGGTGCAGAGTAACAGGGGCCAGTGACAGCTGTCAGAGTCTGCTGACAAATGGTCACATTTCACAGCTGAGTGGGTTAACAATAACACATATGGCGCTCCTCTCCCACCAGCAGCTACACTAACAATGATGGCTCTGTGGCCATTTCACACAAAGAAGGATTTTGCTTCCAGTGGGGGAAACAGTTGCTAAAAGGCTCCTGCTAAACTCAAGGCTTAACTAACTTCTAGCTTGCAGAGGATCATTCCTGTTTACGGGGGCTGTCTAATACCAGTCATATCAGCTGCTTTCCAGTCCGAAAGCTGTGCTATATTTACCTTCACACCCTGCTTGGGGAGCATGCATAACCCATACAAACGCTCACCTTAACTCATGGTCAAAGGCGCAAACAACTACCCTCATTTTTCGAAAGAAAAAAAAAAACAGCCACATCACAATGTTAATTCCATACCTTCAGGGTTCGTAAACTGTCATGCAAAAGTAGACCAATACTACGGAGTCCCACTGTGACAAATCTCGAAATTATCCACACAACTTTTACTACATTAATGTCGCATTCAATCGGTTGTTTCGAGGGGTGAGATTAATTTTCGCTGCATTTTCCAATGAGACAAAAACATTATTTTGTGAAAGAAACTTAGGCAGCAGATACAGAAGCAAGTCTTTCTGAGCTCCTCTGTAACGAATCTGAGCGCCACATGTTATAATTTTTGCCCCTTCTTCTTGGCAGATCCTCTTTGGTCTATTCTTCGGGGCCGATTTGCTTGCCGGTCTGCAATTTCCAAGCCTTTTCACAGATCCTCAATAGGATTCAAGTTGGGATTTTGCTGGTCCATTCAAGGACATTCACTTTCGTTTTCTTAAGCTAACCCATTGTGACTCTGGCCTTGCACTTCGGATCACTGTTCTCCTGAATGGGGAGAAATCCTGCCCCCCTTTTTTCAGCAGACAGGCACTGGCTTTTTGTCTGCCGTTTACATGTACTTTGCTCTTTTTCTTTATCCACTAATGCTAAAACTCTCCCTCCGCCTCCTCCTGAATCACGGTGCTGCCACCGCAGGCAACTGACTCCACGACTGGGTCAAAGGACCTGTCAGCAGCGCGGCAAACCCAACCTTTGCCGTTAGTGCCAAAAAGGTCCACGTTCACGCTTGTCTGAAAACAGCGCTGTGGAGCGCAGCATCACGAAGTCCATGTAGCCTTCGAGGGCAAGGGTATTCCTAAGTAATGAATTCCCCACTTTGCCGTAGGAGGTGGTTTTGAGGAGTGTGTTGGACTGATGTACCCCTAATGCATCCAACTCAGGCTGTGAAATATCTGGCTCTTTCACAGCCCCCTTTGTCTTCCCGGTACCGTCACGCACACGATGTAGCCTTGGGGTGCGTCCTGCCCGGCCTCTCGCTGCCCAACACAATGATCACTGGTACAAAGGTAGAGCCACACTAGAAGGGCTTAAACGAATTTTAAAAGAGTGAAAGTTTTTGAACGGCCCTGCCAAGGTGCAGACATGAATCCTGCTGAGAATCGATAAAAAAAAGGCCTGCGGATAAAACCCTTTAGCGTCGCTTATGCAAATCCACCAGGGATAATGGCCGGGAGGAGTGGGCTGCGTGTCGAGGTGCCACAGGCTTCCTTGGATGCCGGTAAATCGCTGCCAAGGGTCCTTCCAGGAGATTCAGGGTTCAGGGGTCTGAGCACTTATTGAAGCACTATACATCTATTTCCCAAAAGTGGATTGTGGGAGGAAAGCGGAACATCTGGAGAAAATGCAAGTTGACATGTGGAGAACTCTACACACACAGGACCGGAGGCAGCAAGCAAACCCACAAGCCTGGAGCTGTGACTGTATAGCACCACCCACTGAACCTCATGCTACCTCATAGTAAACCTATTTTTATTTTTTGTTTTGTTAACTTATAGGAGGCACCATCAAAACTGAGCTGCGAACGTACATGTGATCACACGCAAGATATTTATAAAAACTAACTTTTCTTTTTTTCCTGCATAACAGAAACATAATCATACAAATTGAAATCTTAAATAGAACCTTGAAAAAAGATTAAAAATTATACGCATCATTTTGCAATATGAAAAAATACAAGCATTGAATACAGGCCCAGTATCTATCCTCTTCGTATAGTCATTTAAAGGGATGAAGTTATTTCAGGTTTGTGCACAGAAACCAACATGTATTAACCTTTATGTTCTACATGGACATGGATCCTTTATGATAGACAATACATTAACAAACCACAGGCACGTCAGGTGAGAACAAGCCACTGACTAGAGTTAGGGGGTGCTGTGGGGGTGGGTGGAGGGGTCACTCTGGAAGACTAACATGCAGCAGAATGAGTTCCTACTTTGATCCAAGTGTGGGATCTGATTGGGCATCTCTCATGTCCATCTGCCTCACTGCAATCTCATTGGCTCCGAGGAATCCCACCGGTTTCCTGGGGGTTGATGGGATTTGAAGGTTCTCCGATTAGTGGCAAAAGTGATACGGTGGGGGTCAGAAGGGAGCCCAAATAGCATGTATTTTGGGGGAATAAAGGGAACAGGTCAGCCAGTCTAGTTGGGGACGCAAAAAAATGTCAGCTGACCACACTGCAGTATGTAAACAGTGACTGAGTCTAAGGCAGTAGTGAGATGTTTACGCTAAGATAAAATAACAGGGAAACACCCAGGCTAACTGCTGTGGTGACAGATGAAAGGACAGACAGAACGACAACATCAGACTGACAACCAAAACCAAGGGGTTCCACATCAAGGCACGTTAGCTGGACCAATGAATCCAAGAAATCAGGCTGATGTGTGAGGGACCCACAGTCCCCCACCAGCATTTCAAAATAAAAGCTAGAAAGTGTAACAACTAGAGAAGTGAGAAGATAAACAGGGAGGCATCAAGGATCATGCAGCCCACAGACAGCCCTGCATAGGTACATAAGTAGATTCAAGATGTGAGTCATAACTAAAAAGACAAAGGCGATAATAAAACAGTGTGTTCCTTGAGACCTGAGTTGATGACCAGAAAAAAATTACAAGTGAGCCTAGAGGCTATCCCAGGAAGCACCGGGTACGAGGAAGGGCATGCCCAGGGTTGGATTCCAGCCCATTACCAGGCACACCCTAACAAAAGGGCAATGCAGAGATCTAGAGTCTAACTGTATGTCTCTGGGCTGCAGGAGGAAATTGGAGTTATCTGGAGGAAGCCCACGCTACACAGGGAGAACATGCAAACTCCACAAAAGCTGGGTGAGAACTGCCAACATCCAACCCTGATGATGTGAGGCCATGGTGTTATAAAAAATGAGAGCGATTCCTGCTGTTTTAAGCAGGCGCATACATGCAGATCTTACCAGAATGGGGCATTGGACACCGTATGGCCATTGTCATGTGAGCACTGCAATCAACCCGACCTGCACCTGTCACCATGCGACACAGCAATCCAAGGCCACTCTTGCTGATGCTCCGAGCGGGAGTGTGAGCATGTGTGTGGGGGTGGGAGGGGGGCACTGGGGTCAGCTGCTGGAGGGTTACTTTATCCAACCCCAGGGGGATGCATCCAGCATAGTTGCTGCCATCGATCGGCTTCTCAGGTGTTGGTTAACATCTTGTTGGGGGGGAGGGGGGTGTTTGTTCAGGGATCGATGGTGCGGCTCCATACCGCAGGACTGGGGGAGGATGAGGACCCCTCAGTTATCCCTTCAATTCTCCACCAGGCCGCTGCGTGTGCTTAGCCAATCACAGCCCTGCCCTGGTCAGTTGAGCCTTTTTACTGCCCACCTTCATTGACCAATAAAAAGTCATTTTCGATTTAATGAAGCTCATTGGTCGAGCTCCATTAAGATTGTTTTTCGGGACTGACTTCAGTGTGGCTGTAAGGAGACTGACTCGACAGGGCTTAAGTGACATTGGGGGAGAGAGGAAAGACAGGAGGAACAGGAGGAACCATTGAGTTAAAGTCTCACACTTAAATAGAACCCGCTGAGACTTGGAGAGCAGGAGGGGGAGGGTGGAGACAAACACACACCGTCTGGATGAGCCAATAGGAAACAGGGGGCGGTTCCAGTCAGACTCACTTGCGGGTCCGGTTCTGTACGGCCTGTTGCTGCTGCTGCTGTGGCTGCTGCTGCTGCTGTGGCTGCTGCTGCTGCTGAACCTGCTGGGATGGAGCCGGTCGCTTCCGGTTGGCCTCCATCACCTGGGTGGGCATGCCGGGCCGGACGGAGGGGTTCCCCCCATATGGGGGGCCAGGGGGGCCCATGGGAGCACCCTGGTGGGGCATGCGGGCTCCAGATGGCATTCCTGGGCGCTGGAGCAAGAGAGGAGGGAGCGTTGATATTCACTCACCCAGAAAACCGCAGGCGTGACACACTGACAGGGTGAATCAGGGCCCAGCACAGGGTCCCTTGGGGCCCCCGGGGGGGGGTTGGGTCCCATTCTCCTCATTATTTGGACACATAGTCACCTCACACACCTCCCAGATAAGTGAAGCTCATTAAAGTGTAATGTACAAGCGCTAAACTTGCTGAAATGAATACAGGCACAGCGATTGATTAGAAAGCACGCTTCCCGCAAATTAAATGGTCTGCTGGCCAATCACATCAATGGAATCTGCTTTGAATTTTTTTTTCTTGCACGTGTGCTCACTTTATCCCACTGCAGCCCCACGCCCACCTGCCAGTTTATGGCGAGGGACAGCTGAGGCACTTCACACCTGTGCCTGTCACTCCTGCAGGCAACAGATGCTGGACCCCCCAACCCCCCTTCCCACCGGTCTGACATTGTAGGGGGGGGATGTTCCATTACAGTAAATGGTTGTACGCTTGGGGCTCGTGCCGCGATGCCACAGAACAGGAGATGGTCCGGGACACATGGGCGTATGGGGGATGGAAAAGCCGCGCTGGGCGGGATAGGTGGGTGGGCGGGGGGGCAGAGAACCCTTCAGAGTGAGATCAAGGGGGAACTTTCTAGAAGCAGCGTGTTAGAGAGCAGAATCCGGCACAGCTCAGCTGTCATGTGGACCATGGGATTTCACGGGCCGCCGTTCTGACAGCATATATACAAATATATTCCTGCTTTAAAACTCTCATGGAGCACCTTCCTGGCTTGTGACTTGCTGTGCTACAGTCTGACTGTAGGAAGCCCATACTTTGGGGGGTAGGGGGCAGGTATGCACAGACAAGGCTGCCATTGTAGGGGCCTAGTGGAGGTAGGAAGGGAGGACTAACCCTCCCTGGCTATCCATCCATCCATCCATCCATCCGTCCATCCATCCATCTGTCCATCCATCCATCCATCCATCCACACACCGGGGGCGATCTACCTGCCCCCACCAGACTAGATTAGGAGTCAGGATTAAGCCCTGGATGAAACAGAGAGAACATGCCGGAAATGACACTCAAACCCGGAGCTGTAAGGCAAAAACATCTGAGTCACTGAGACGAAATATCACCCAACATGCTTGGCAACAGTAAAAAATACTATTATAACACTTTTAATTTAGATTTTCAGTGATTTGTTTTCTAAACCGATGGACATAATTTACTTTTTTGGAACTTCATACTATATCAGTATGTCGAATTATTAATAAAATCACACCCACCAAATATTTGCATTGCTGCCTTTTTGGTAAGAGTTCTATCAGAAAAAAAGCTCGTAATAACTTCGTAAATTGCCCTGGGATTCTGTGCCGCTCTGGATATGGCCCGGTCTGTATTTTTCCTCCCAGCTAATGACAGAGCTGGGAAGCGTGGTGCAGACACTCCTCTCATTAACCACGAGACGGGAGGCGGCCAGAGCATATGGAGGGAATCCATGCCCGTCAGACGGAGGGCGCAATGTCACAGCAAAGGCACTGAGCCCTGGAACCTTCCGGAATGCACAAGCCGCAGGTGAGGTGATTAAAAATGAAGACTCGTAGGGAGAAATAAAAGAGTACCTCTCCGTCCGAATCCGCAGTGGCTTCACGGCAGCCCTGCTTCCTGTGGGCTATCACCCCTGCCACATGGGGGAGCATTCCAGTTGGTGCAAATTCGCAGGGTAATGTGAGCTGAAAGCTGGGTCGACTTGCCAGCTCATACTGGCTGCAGAAAAAAATGTAAATCTGCCAGCCGAAATAAAATTATATTGAATATTTAAGAGAGTGGGGTGGGGGGAGGGGGGACATTGGCTCTTCACCGCCAGTGGATTGAACTGGAATCTAGCAGAACCTAAACAAACCGGGCTGGAAAACGTACGCACATGTGTGACGGGCCAGTACGCCCTTCGGATTGGTTGAACGCGCGGCAGCTTAGGGAGAAGCCAAACCCCCCCCGTAACACAGACATACCCCAAGTGTGACACAAATGTGAGGTGAGCCACTTTACAGGAGGTCATAAGACACGAAGCCCTCACTCGCAAATATGCCCAGATGCAAACACGATTTTCAAGATGATCCTTCCTGAAAATGTTTTCATTTTACAGGCAAATGAGTGACTTCACATATATGTGAAGTTATGTTACTGATGTAGTATGTAACCCTCAATAACAATATCTCTGTCCTGCTAACCAAGGTTTCTTTACAACAGCGAGGGGGCCCCTTGCCCCCCCCTAAGCTGAGCAGGACTGGGCCGAGGCTCTCAGACCCTAGACTGCTCTGTAACGAGAACTGATATAGACAGCTTCTGTGCTCAAACACCGATGACTAATTAACCCTGAAATGTACACACGTTTCCCTCCCTGTCTACACTCCAGTATCTTAACAGCCTTTACAGCCAGACACATTAGAGTAAAGTTCAAATTAAAACTCAGAGCTCTGCCTTGTGACAAAATCTCTCATTCTAAGGAATTCAAGAAAATATTTTTTCAATTAGAGAATACTTTAATGATTTATTGTTTATTGTCTTGATTGTACTGGAGCAAAACGTCAAGTCAAATTCCTTGTAGGTGACACCTTACTTGGCCAATAAAACTCATTCTGATTCTATAGCATCCATCTTCTATAACTATGTGTCGCATGCAGGGGCTGGAGTCGGTCCCAGGACACACGGGGCCAGGATACCAGGTCACACACTCCGACACACCCGGGTCATTCAGAGCCACCAACATACCCAACACATCTAACTTCAAGTTATTACACTTGCTGGAGGAAACTGGAAAACCCACACAGACAGAAAAATGGAGGCGGGACCAAACCTCGAACCCTGGAGGTGTGAGGCTACAGTGCCTCCCATGGTCTACCGTGTAAATGCACATTAATACGCGTCCGGACAGGGGGCTAATGTTAGGGCCCCAGTAAGAGCTCCAGGCCCCGAGAACAAAGCTACGCACTGTACTGTGTACTTTCCCGCCCCCCCCTTCCCCCACGAGTTGCACTCGTACATGTCAGTCAAGGGGGCTACTCCCCACACACACCCACACTCACCTCCCCCTGCCAACCCCCACAAAGCTCACCAGGGGCCAGATACACGTAAGGCAGCCTATGTCTGACTCCAAACACAAAGGCTTGGTTTCGAAATGAGGCCCCCCCCCCATAAACGGGCTCCCGGTGGGCTCCTAAACCACGGATAATTAGAGAGATTCGACCCCATTACTGAGAGTGGTGCGGCACAGCCACACACCCCGAAGCGTGTCACTGGGGGAGGGGGGTCTCATTGCTGGGGACACCCCTAACAGGCGAACCGTCTGCCTTTTGTCAGAGAGCTCTCCCCTGCCTGACGGCGCCCCCCACATCCCCAGGTGAGCGCGGTAATCAGGTTGGTGATGGGGCTGCAAGGGGGGGGGGGGGGCATATTAGCGGGGGAGGGGGAGCAAGAGACCGAGCACATTTAAATACAGCTTTTCATTACTGCCACATGGAATCAAATGCTGCCCTTGTTCCTCTTCTCGCTTTCCCAGGACACCTGCAGTAAAACCCGCAAAGGTAACAATCACAATGCGCAGCTTTTAGAAACCACACGTGCGACGCACGGCCATTCTCAGTGGTGCGGGAATGTGTGGAGATTAACTGTACAGCAACATCTCCATATTTGGTATAACATGGTCCAGTGGGGATTGCAACCAAGAAACGTGAAATATTGGTGAAATACAGGGTGTGGCACCATAGACGCTGTGCGAATCGAAGGAAATAACAGGCTATCATAGCATAAAATAAACAGGGAATTGCAGTTTTCCCATATGGAGTGGAATATCCATATGTAAACATGGCGTCTCCTTCTATACACCAGCACTGAGCCTCCACTGCCTTTATATCAGACTGAGATAAAGCCTTCACAGGAAGGTGGAAGAGAAGGCGGTGCCTACAGTAAAATGGCAAGGAGAAAGAGGAGGTGCCTACAGTAAAATGGCAAGGAGAAGGAGGAGGTGCATATAGTAAAATGGCAAGGAGAAAGAGGAGGTGCCTACAGTAAAATGGCAAGGAGAAGGTGCCTACAGTAAAATGGCAAGGAGAAGGAGGAGGTGCATACAGTAAAATGGCAAGGAGAAGGTGCCTACAGTAAAATGGCAAGGAGAAGGAGGAGGTGCATATAGTAAAATGGCAAGGAGAAGGAGGAGGTGCATACAGTAAAATGGCAAGGAGAATGAGGAGGTGCATACAGTAAAATGAGGAGGAGAAAGTGCATGCACTAAAACTTGGAGATGGAGGAGGAGGAGGACAAGGTGCATATTAAAATGAGGAGGAAGTAAACTAAAATAAGTAGCAGGAGGAGGTGTGTGCCCTAAAATAAGGAGGAGGTGTGTGCCCTAAAATAAGGAGGAGGTGTGTGCCCTAAAATAAGGAGGAGGTGTGTGTCCTAAAATAAGGAGGAGCTGCGTACACTAAAATGAGGTGGAGGTACGTAAGTAAAACGATAAGGAGGAGGTATATGCACTAAAATGAGGAAGAGAAGGTACGTACACAAAAATGCGAAGGAGGTAGATAAGTAAAATAAGCAGGATGAGAAAGAGGTGCATACACAAAAATGTGTCCATTAGGCAAGACCACACAGACCATGGTATGGTAGCAATGGGTGTGTTATATAGTAGATTGAAATAGACACAAGCATGCAAGGCCATCAGAGGGCAAATACAGAGAGGAGAACTCATCCTAAACAGCCAGAACCAGGAGGTGCTGGAACAAGCCCACATGAACATGTGGAGAACCTGCAGCCTCCACTTGTATAGAGCGGGGCTGGAAACCAAACCCAAAACCGTGGGGGTGTGAATCCTCAGTGCCCGTCGTCCATGCCGTGCTGCTCCCAATCTGATGGAGCATAGAGCACCATGCCTAAAGAGAGCCAAAGTGAACCCCAGCCAGTATGACAGAGAAGGCCGGGCTCACTACCAAATCATCAGCTTCAGGCCCACATAGTGAGATCTGCCAAGGATGCAGGACGCGGCGGACAAGGGGGATAGAGGACGCGGCAGGCATGGAGGACGCAGTATGCATGGAGCATAGAGGACATGGTGGGCATGGAGAATGGAGGATGTGGTGGACATCGAAGATGGAGGGCGCAGTGGGCATGGAGGATGGAATATGTGGTGAGTATGGAGGATGGGGGACGGGACAGGCATGGAGGATGAGGGATGCAGTGGACTTGAAGGACGCGGCTTGCATGGAGGATGTGGTGGTCATGGAGGATGGAGGATGTGGGGAGCAAAAAGGATGGAGGATGAGGTGGGTATGAACGATCGAAGATAGAGGACATGATGGGCAAGGAAGATATGGGGACATGGAGTATGGAGGATGTGGTGGGCATCAAGGATGGAGGACATGGTGAGCAAGGAGGATGGAGGACACATTGGGCATGTAGGATGGGGTGGGCAAGAAGGATGCAGAGGCCATATTGGATGTAGAGGTTGTAGGGCATGGAAGATGTGGACATGGTATGCACGAAGAATGGAGAAAGTGGCAGGCACAGAGGACAGAGAAGGCAGTGGGCATGGAGGATGTTGGATGCGGCAGGCATGGAGAGCTTTAACTCTGGGAACATGTGGCCAGGAGCCATTTTTTTCTGAATTCCTCCTTTCCAGAATTTTCTTTAAAAAATTCAATCAAACCTGGACATGTCGTCTTGCCAACAGGCTACACAATTTCCCCTTTGAAAGGCATAAACTACAAAGGGAAAGCAGGTCCAATCTACCAAAAGTCAAGGGAGAAGAGGCAAAAGTAATCGAAAAAAAAAACACGTTTCGCCCATTGCCATGGCAACAGCGCTCAAATGGCACTTGGGGAGCACACCTCAGCGTGTACTGGCCTTAGCCGCTGGCAGTTCCCTGGTGATGGCTATGCTGGCAAACGGGGGTAAAACCGTAAATATGCTAATATTTTCACCTGATGTTTATATATATGTTATTTTTTAAGGTAACGATATATCGTTATATCTATGCGATTCGCTCAAAAATGATGACAGGAGTCATTATGTCCTTAGATGTAGCTGGTGGCATTTTTGTCACTGTCTCTAATAGGACATTACTGGGGACATGACTCATTAAGTGATAACAAAATTGTTCTCTGGGTGAGTATCTGGAGAATCGTCACAGTGCGCTAACTCAGAACCAATTAACAGTCACTTAGTAGCTCCATGAATAAGGGCGCTTACACCGCATACAGGAATGGCGAGGTGACCTGTCGGCACTGGATGTGGATGCCAGAGTCACTGCTTCTGCTTTCTAAGGTCTCTGGAGCAGCCCAGCTGTGGCACCGACCCATTTGTCACTGTCACCATGTCACCACACCTTCAGAGGTGAGGGACTGCTGCAGAGATACAGGAAGTCAAAAAGAGTAATGGGGGGAAAACCAGCCTGGAAGTAGCAAAAGCCTCATCAAGGTTAATTAGCGCACCGACCCGGTACAATCTTCCCATAAATCATTTGGGTCCTGCCCCTCCAGAACACGGCCCAGCAGAGCCCAGGAAGCTCACAAGTGACAGTGTTCGGCTTAGCATTTCAGCATGTACACAACTTAAACGACACTGCATTCATTATCGACAGTGCGACAGACATGCTGAATCTCTGCACAGTCATATTTTTAACAGCGTGTGATATCCATAAGTGTGATATCCATAAGTGTGATATACAGCCTTACACACACTCCGCTCACCTCTAGGCCAAACTCAAATATCCCTTGTGGGAAACGGCACTATATAAAAATAAATCGATCTCGATTCAGATTACGCATGATCGGCGTCACAGGAAGTCCTTACAGAGCGTGGAAGTGTGACGTGGTGTTTGATGGGGGGGGGGGAGGCACCGCTGACGGAGGAGGACACCTAGCAAGGCTAAATGAGGCGGATGAGCCTCAACAACCAGGGACGGCCGTTATCTTAACAGAGAACTGACCCCCACCGTCGAACTCTGTCTATGGGATGCACTTCCACCCTCCATAAAGCTGTGAAATGTTCCTGGAACCAGGAATATGAGTAGATATAAAGAACAAATTATTCTCTGAAAGCTGTGGACATAGTTCTCCGTGAACCACAACACAACAGGCTTAAAAAGAATATTTTTATTCCTAATAATATTAATAATATTTAATAATACAAAGAATTAATATTAATAATAGTAATTAAAAAATCCTATTTTTACAAGATGAACATCTTCACCTCTCACCAAAAACCCTAGATTTAGCAGCCTGGTGAACCTTCTACCACATTTCAGTTGAAACCTTCCTAACAAACTAAACTCCAAACTCACTGGCCAAATAGCCAGACACTGCTAGTATCCTGCTGGATTCCAGCCGAGTTTTTGAGATTGAACCCCCCCCTGCCTCCCCCCACCTCTCCCGTAACGTGGTACATCTGACTGCGCTCAAACTGAACCAAAAACTTCCATCCATCCATTCATCCATCCTTCTATCCATCCATCCATCCATCCATCCATTTTCTGTAACCACTTATCCCATTCAGGGTTGCGGGGGTCCAGAGCCAGTCCCAGAGGCTAACCAAAAAGTTATTTATCAATAAAAACATACACAGACAGCCAGTCACTAATGAGGTAAACATCATCTAAACTTAAACTGTACCAAAATAGAGAGACGCTGTTGAGTTTATTTTCTCCACACTATGTTTAACTCAGTCAGGGAGAGCGGGAGGCTGTCCGACTCCTATATAAAGCGACGCACCAGGAAAAGACGCTTAATTCCCCAGATGCTGATCAGACCGGCCCTGGGGGCTCCTGTACAGCCTGTGCTGAACCAGAACCAGAGTCATTCAAAGGTGCCTGGGCTCCGGTCAGGTCTGAAGGTGCACAAAGTGACCGTGCGGTTCTCCTGGCGGGTCCCGGCAGAGACTCAGACGCCCGGGGATCCGGCTGCCTCTCCTGCTCCCTCAGCCTCCCCATCGCTGCCTCTCTCCTTCACTCCCTCCCTCGCTCTCTGCTCCTTTCCACTCCCCCCTGTCTTTAAAAAGAAGCGAAACGGCATTCTGGAGGCTAGAAATAACCTTCACGCGGCTTTCCCAGCTATCGGGCGCTCGCGGGGGCTCGCTCTCCCACTCGCACACACCGACACACACGTGCAGACCGACACACACACACACGCGCGCGCTGACGGGACCAACTCACCACTCCATGGACCAGGAACTCAAACAGTTTGCTCTTGGTGGCTTTGCGGGCACCCCCGGCCGTCTCCTCTGTAGCCATTGAGTATTCCCGTATCTCTCTGCCCCAGTCCTCCTTGCCCCCCTTCTGTCTCTCCCTCTCTTTCTTCCCCTCAGTGTGGTCTCTCCTCCTCCTCCTCCTTTCAAAGTGCCCTGCTCTCTCGCTCCCGTCCCCCCTTCCTCTCCCTTTCTCTCTCCTCCACTGTTTTTAATGTGTAACCCAGCCAAGTCGCTCTCTGTGCCTCTTGCACTTTTGAGTTGAGCTGCCTTTCACTCGCCCCGCAAGGGGAGGGGAGGGCGGGGGTCTGTCAGGGGGGTTCCGGCCGGCCCACCCTCGGGGCCCCATGCGCAGCTGTTGCATTCCATTGGCTGATAAGGACACACGGTGTGACTGGCTGCCGCCCCCCCGCTGTTTGTGTGCCGGCTGGGGAAGTTCGCCGTTCTCCTTGACGGTTTGTTGCCGAGGAGCACGAGCCGCCAGGTCGCAAGCCGCCCGCCAGAAAATGCTCGTCTCTAAAAGGAGCCAAGCTGCTTAAAGGGGCTACGGCCCTTTTCCTGCATCTCCCAGAATCTCCCATTTTCATCACACTTATGCTTCCAAAGGTTTTACTCTAAAACAACCAGGAATTGTCAGGCATTATCAAGTTACCATGGCTAAAAAAAAATCTGTTAGAATCTTATGCTAAGTGTTTCTATGGCAGGTTCATAATGTTTCTAATTTAAGCACTGATCCAGAATTGACGTAAATAACGATTTACAAACTTACACAATAGTAATAAGTTTGGCTACAATGTGATATAATGTCACAGGTGAACACAGCTCATGTTCCAGTAATTTTTTTGGCTTTACATTATAAACTTACTGTCCAACTTTAATTCACCTGAGTTGTTCTTTCTATGTAAATCTAACTTGATATATTTGTTACAAAGTAATATAGCTGATGGTGAAAAATTCAGATTTGGTGGCACTGGCTCCCCAATTCTGTAAATGACAGGCAAAAAGTGTATGCAGACTAATTTAAAAGACAAAAGGAACACAAAGAAATCCTTGATAACATTCGGGGGGGGGGTTATGGTAGCAGTGTCCATCCCAAAGATTCTGACCAGGGACTCAGAGAGTCTGCTGGCCTGCCTACACCACCCAAGTAGGCGGGCCTTTGTGCCAGCCAATCAGGTGCAGGGCTGCTTAAACTGGCCAGGGCCAAAGAGACTTTCCCTAATATGATTGCCCCCCTGGACTCCCAACCAATCACCCAGGGCCCTAAAAGTGGGACAAACGAACATGAACCCCTAGACACCAAACCGCACTGCAAGATTGGATAGCGCTGCGACTCTTCTGCTCACATGATAAAGCAAACATTAGTCTGCATACGTGAAGGTTAGTATCACTAACCTGTGATAATGCTGAAGCTGACCTGTATTTGAGTTATGAATCACTATACATAAATGGAGAACAATATTTAGGATTTACTTATGTTAGGCTGGTTGTGCTTAATGCAGCAACACGACTGTCCAGATGCCTTTACCATAGTTTAAAAGCCTCAGTTTTGATAGTTGTACTGTAGTAGTCGTGTGAATGAGGCTAACAGTGGATTTGTCCGAAGTGAGGGACTGACGTTGTCCTTCACGTCAGAGAGTCGTGCTCTGAGAATTTTCCGGCAGAGCTCCGATCTGGGAATGCTTGGACCTTTCCTGTCACGGGCCAATTATGGCATTTAAAGCAAAGTGGTGGCCGTGGAGAATGCCAGAACGTCTAAGTGCCGAACTCAGTAGGAAAAAGAGCCCCAAGGCACCGGGGGTTTGGAGCTGAAACCAGAAGAATCAGTGAGTCCGCTGAGGATTCAAGCGAGGCACCTGGCTAATCCCTTTACATGGAGAAAATGCAAGAGAACAGGCAGGGGTGACGTTTCTATGTTGCACTCAGCTGTAGTGACCTAAATGCTAAGTGATTTCGACAAACCAGTTACCTGCCACCTGATTCTGTGCCCACAATGCCACCGCCTTACATAGATCACACCGGAAGCAGAAGCTGTAGTCGACAACAAAGCTACCATGAGGTCAATGCATCGTCAGCACCATCAGCTGACCCCTGAGTCTGAAAGGCAAGACCACAGACAACTTTCATTCACCTCATGATGCTGCTGTTTGTCACCATGGCAACACAATATAATATGAATGTTACAAAGTGAACTGGAAGCTCTCCAGCACAATCACACGAGTCGGGGAAATGAACTGAAAAATTCTTCCAAAAGCCTGTGATGTGGTTAACCAGTATACATACACAGCTGACCTGCCACTTATGGTCAAATAAAAAATAATCGGTATAAGACTGAAGAGAAATTCAGGAAATATATGTTTCAGAGGCAGGTTTCAAAGCTGCAATTTAAGGAAGACCCCAGCAGAGGTCGCCACTGTCCACCCACTCAAACCCTCAAGCCGGGAACAATGTGCCACAAACATCAGCTTTTAATTTCAATTATTGTCATTCATTTAACGACCCACCCCAGAAAAAGCAGCAGAAAAATGATTATTTTTATTATTAACCATTCTATTCATTATTATTAACCATTCCAAATCGGACCTTATAGTACCTGATACAAGTCACATTGTATGTCTGTTTCAGTTACATTTCTTTCAATAAAAGGCATAATGTTGATGAAACAATCCTGTATTAATGAACCTTAACATTCCCATCAAGGAACTCAAGATTCTGCGGATTTTTTAAAGGGAAATTAACGTGGCGTCGCTGCAAAGTGAACAGCGGCTCAGACAGAGCAGGGAACGTGACTGTCAGACAGCGAGTAGCGTAGCAGGGTGGTGTCACATCCCGACGGTCGCTGGGTTGAGTCCCTGCCAGCAGCCCCGCTATCATACTCTGGAGATCTGTACTTCAGCTGAATAAATGGGTAAAAATACCCTTAGAGACCAGCCTTGTTCCTATGAATGAGTGCTATCATCTGAATAATACGACCCGTAACACAGTAACCTGACATTCAGCCTAATGAATTTACTGTGACTGAATAAATGCTATAATATATGTGGTTATTATAGTGGGGAAAAAAATTCACTTTCAAAAGGAAATAATAACAATCCAATTTCTCCCATCAAGTATATCTTCTATATTACGTTATATTTCCTCTTAAATTGAATTTTTTAAATTGCACTGCGCTTCATATTAAATTGCATTGAATTTCATATTAGGCTGAAATATAACACATTTGGCCGTTTCAATGGGCACTTACCCTGTCAAATTTACGGATTGTCCGGAGCGTTGGAGAAGGCAATAAGGTGGGGTCACCCTTGACAGGACGCCAGCCAATCACAGGACAACCCTGGATGGGACGCCAGTCAATCACAGGACATGCAAAGACACTCAATCTGATGGGAAACTCACAGCTCACCAGTACGCCTTAAACATTAGATATCTGGCCAGGCCAAATAACCAAAAACTCAAAGAAAACTGAGACAAACCTTAAATACACACAAAGAGCTGAGATTCCCTGATTCTACGACACAAAGATACCAGCTTGGCCACACTGCAATACAATCCAATACAGCCTTAATATATAAAAATGGAATTGTAACTGATAATAGCAGTGCATTTAAATAATTTAATAAAGTCATACTTGCAATGAAATTTGCCTAGAAAACACAGCGCATTAGTGCACATGAGCACATTTTTCCCTTGTTAAGTTTATTTAAGCAGCAAATCACAGTACACAGTTAAAGTCAACAGCGCGACAGTACAAACATCACGAGTGACCCTGCCAGTCCCACGTGGGAGAAAACCGCCAGCAGAAGGGGACTGGCCTTACATAGGCAAATGTACTCCGTGTGTCGAAATCCCCCCTGCCGGATCCCCCCTGTCTCCTTCACTCTCCAAAACCAACTACACCAAATGGTAATATCCCATTCCGTAAGAGGAGAGGGGGGAGAGCGCAGCTTCAAAGGGACAAGCCGTGGAAGGCAGCTGTAATTAGGTCTCAGGCCTGCAGGGGGAGCAGAGACCGGTCCTCCGTCGGGCATTCCTGCCCAGCAGGAGACGGCCCTGGATCTTTGTGGTTAGTGAAAGACCACGGAGACCCATGCTGCCTCTCTCCCTCTCGCTTTCTGTGTCCCTGGGGCAGCAGGCTTGTATTCCAGGGAAGATAATCCTGTCCCCGATAACGGGGGAGCAGGATAAGTGCACCAAGATTACAGGGAGACTCAAATGAAAATTTTAAAAGGACAGAAATAATTCCGCGATCTTTCTGATTGTGAGCCGTCTACCAGCTATGTAAAAAATATTGGTGTAGCATTGCTGTATACCGTTTGACTTCAGGGTATATGGTCACAACTTGTAATAGGTCACTGCCACCGGTCCCCACACGCCGTCTTCTCGCTGCCATTTCTGCTTCTCTCACCCCATCTGTTGTTTTCCAGTCTTCAAAATGTATTCCTTTGTCACCAGTTAGCATGACCTTGTGCGCTACTGTGTTTTTTTTTTTTTTACTTTCAGCGGAGTATGAAAGCGTGGAATGAGCACCTCAGAACGGCCTAGCTGTAAAGCCCACATGCTGAATTTTCTGAACCGCATTCATTACCATATTCATATACATTACTTATTCATGGACTCTATTGTCTGTCTGGCGGTGTTCAGGTCGCATAACCGTCTTCCAGACAGATCACGTTCTGTCAAAACTTCCTCCTTACTCCAACAGAGGGTGCTGAAGAGCACACAACGCACGCTCTCAGATCAAAATCACTTCCATCCATCCATCGTCTAGCCACTTATCCTGGTCCAGGGTCACGGGAAAATAACTTACGATTTATAGATAACATCAATTTCACCATAAAATGGCAAAAATCTAAGCTGAAAACAATTATGTGAACTGCAGATATGTCCCATTGTGGTTGAAGCTCACAGAATGTGCAATACGGAGTGATACCATGTTCCCAGGAGTACAAGAACGTGCTGATAAAATAATTGTAGTAAACTGAACAGGCTTGGCATGTGTGATATTATACATTCCTATCTATTCAGTTATACAATAACTATAGTGCAGCGACAACTGCTTCTCAAAACAATACATTTTGTTGAGATTTGTTATACCCAGTGCATACATAGGAAATGTTATTGGGCTGAGGTTTAATCCATGAGTAACTAATGGAAGTTTATCAGACTCTTGGTTGTGATAGAAATTAAAGTCTGACTTGTTTGATTGGTCAGAAAAGGGACCTGCTACGTGCTCAGAATTGCGATGCTTTAGCCCGTGAGGCTTCCAGATTCCTGGCGGGT